AAAAGAGTGGATAGAAACTTATAAAGGAAGAAGACATTTAAAAAATTACAGAGATGTACATACGAGACGTTTCTCTTTAAAACCAATTTTATTTCAAGTTCAAGTATGATTTTGGATGGTATGTTTATGTGGTAAATTAGTATCCAAATATTTACCGAACGTCCGTTTATAGTTTAAGAGAGACATGGATAAAATCTTACAAATTGAGTATATTAATATGCTTAAAATTTCAATTTATCTTCTGGAAATAAAGAGAAAAGTTAGTTCGTGTTACAGTATAATTTTTCAACGACCCTATGGCAAGTACTTCATTATGCGAGAATAATTTTTTGAGAGGATATTCTCTTAAGTGGAGCCTTATTCCTAGATTTATGTTGGGGTAAGAGGTACGGATATTCATAAAAAATCATGGAGCAGTCCAATTAGGCTCCTCATACAAGTATACAGCTTCGACAGTTTGGATTGGGGGAGGTAATGGCCCTAAGTTTGGCCCTTGAGTTAACTGAGACGATGTCGACAACAACGACGTCATTACTGTTTCGTCCTAACGATCGCAATTACACTGTTGGAATTCGTTTCCGACATTTCGAATGACGTAATTCAACATGACCAAACATCATTTCCGAGAGAGTGATCTTTGTCCCTTCGGAAGCAGTCCTCTCATCATTATCAGGAAAGGGATTGACACGCACTTCGGACCAAACAGCCTATCTATATATTACATAAATCAAGAGATTATTATAACACATCCGTCAAAGTATATTAGATATTTTGCATGAATTTTTATATATCTTAAAAATTTAAATGAAAGGAGTAATTCTTACCCCATGAGTTTCTCAGAAAACTACACTTAACAAAGTCAGAACATGTTAAACGAATAATTTGTTACGTTCTGTAAACGTATTTAGCCACCGATCTAGTGATCATGCATACAAGCATTTTTCAAGTAGATACCAATATCATTCCATAATTTATTCAGAATTATTATTTATTATCCGAGTCCTGCATCGCGCAAACGAGATATCACGCATGTTTTACGACTTTGATTAAAACCGGAGAGTTTCCCCCGGAAGTATTTTTCCACGCAGATGGTAAAGGCGCAGTTTTGAGCAGAAAGTCCCAAAAAATCTCGTCGGTACAGAACTTTATTTCCACCGCATTTTGAAAACCTCCCCTTTTACGAGCGCGCTCGGCACGTTATTTTTACAAGTGAAAATCTACCTCTCTATTAACCATTTTTTTCCTCACAAGCCAATCGTGGCCAAGATTCGTCCAGATTTTCGATATCTAGTCAACAATTAATTTCATCCAAATGATTATATTCCCTTGACATTCGTCAGAAATTCGATGAACTTCTTTTTAAGTGAAAAATCACAGTTCTGGTCAGACCATTCATTGTAACGTATACCGAAATTATTTGAACATTTATTGCAACTCCGCTAATTTTCAAGCGACTATTAAGAATATTTTCATTAATTACGTGTTTCAAGAATGAAGTAAAAATTAAAGAGAGAGAAAGAGCGATTACTTTGGATGTTCCATTACATCCCTTCTACCGCTATTTCGGTTTTGGTTAAATGAAATTCTTGTTCTTTGTGCCGAATACTTCCATCTTATTCTATCCATTCACGCTCCCCACAGAGCTTCCGAAAATAGTACCTCAGTCATTTCGAGACACACTGGAATTTAATAAACGGCGGCTCCGCAGTTTCTATTTAGAACGCCAAGTTGGGAGACGCAATTTGCTCTGGGTTTTTCATTTTCGTTTCTCGCAGCAATCTGTTCCGGTCTTATATATTTCCCTTGAAGCTGTCGCGTGGCTTTGCCATTCCTTTCGATTCGTGTTTCTGTTACGATTATCCATTATTGCGTTTCATTAGGACTGTCAATCTTTGAATACGTAAAAAGACGTCACCGACCACAGATTATGACGAATTGTTTTAGCATTAAGTAAAGCTTTAGCATTTGTAAATCACTTAAAACATTGTTTCAAACTAACGAAGGATGTAAGAAAAATGCAGCTGCAATCGTGAGTTTTAATCTACCGAATTTCTTTTGAATTTAATTTTCGTTTAAACAACGTATAAAAACACTAACTGACCCGTTGTTAGAGCAACGCGATAGAGAAGTTTCAATATAAATATTATCACATTGACGCCACAATTATGCATACCTTTTAATTAGATGTTGGGAGAAGAAAGGAGATGTGCTAAAGCTAACTTACTTAATTAAAAAAAGATGAAGAAGTGAAATAATCTCCTCACAGCAACACTTGATTTGTTTATTCGGGTATATTTAAAAACATATACATGTGGTTATATAGAATTTTTTTATTATTATGGAATTTTATAAGAATTTAATTATTGCTTTGGAATCATTTCAACAGCATTTGCACTATTCTTCGAGATCCAATTAGTTCAAAATAAGTCTTTTGAGCTTTGCAAAGAATTTTTGATTTCTTATATATTGTCGTAGAAACTTTCAGGTTCATCTAGACAAAAATGTTAGGTTGTGATTTTTAAAATCGAAGCTAAGGTTGAACATTTCATTTGAAATTATAGACCAACATATACACGAGATTGCGAGCGCTTGTTAATTACCTGTATCAGCTGTAATAATATTACTTGTATCAGTTACATTAGCTAATTAATGCTTCACTTTTATATTAAAGTAAAGATGTAAGAGGGAAAGCAACGGGGAGAAGGAGATAAGATTATCCAGGGCATTTTTGATCTTTTCCGGGATAGACGAATGTCCCCTTAACGTCAACAATCATTAGTCTCATTGTTCTCAGCTGTTAGCTAGATTGAAAAACTCTGGATTTACCCCTCGCAGAGACAGCCGTTCATTTTTCAAATGTCGTCAACCACCCTCATTGTTTTAGCGTGCGATACCGTATTATCTAGGATTGAAAACCCTTGTCTATAGAACGGCGAAACAATTGCCAATTATTAGAAGTCTTTTAGGTAATTATTCAACAAATCTTGACAAACTACCTACGAAGAAATGCCCACGCGGCACTAACTTAAATTAATGAAAACTATTATATGTTTCTTATGATATCTAAGGAAGCCAAGGATAAGATTTGGCGTTCCTGAATAACTAGATAGTGATTTTCTCGCGATTTTTAAGATGGGAGAGAGGATGAAATATTTAAGATTTTGATTCAGAGAGTATCTATGCGAGAGTCACGTGAGCGTAAACATAATTATACGTAATGGTAAGCATATAATTATTCAATAAACTCATTTGCACTTTACTATTATATAAAAACATGGTCACGATAAGAGCATTCGTACTTTAACAAATCTACCAAGAAATTAAAATCATGAATGGATCTTTTTTCACTCAAGAGAATCTGTCGATCGATTCTAGTTTTAATTTCAGGTCATCGTATTATATAACATTACAATTAACATCGTTGTCTTAACACTATTTTTCCCCCTTTACTCTAATTTTATATTTATTTTTAGTGCCTGTCATAGTATTCCATTCAACCATTTATTTGGACGGCTTCCATTCTTCGGAACTATCCCTAGTAGCATAGAATAATTTCTAAATATTTCTTTGTAATTTTTACTAAGTATCTCAAGCGACAAATTTTTTAAGATTTCTTGTAGATTTCATTCGAAGGTATTTGAAATACTTGTTGAAAATCTCAATGACATATTTAGTTTCAATAATTTATACACATATAGAGAAANCTAGGGATCATGTTCGACCGAGGATAAATTCATTCAATCGAAGGCGAGAGTAACGAAAGTGTTTACTCGGTAAAATCCTGAGGTTCTACAGAAATGTTAAATGAATCGTTTTCGCATGCAGGAGGTGTGGTGCGAAAAAGTCGCGGGTACTTCTTATCACGTCTGTAAAGAAGTTTTAAAGGCTTGCGTGACTTGAAGCTCAATTCGAATTTTGTGCGAATGGTCCATTGCTGAAAAGTCGACGCTTCGTGGTTGTAAAGGCCGGCCGACGATGTTTGTTAGCGGTGGAGCTCGAGTGGCCTGCTGAAATAACAGGGATTAAATTGCTCTCTGATTAATGTTGTTTAATTTCTTCTCGGAAAAAACCGCCACGCCATCATGGATACGCAATCCATGCAGCGGAAGTGTATTTATCAGCACCCAATGAGGGGCAGGGTAAATAATCGGCGCACGAAGTACATTTCCTTAACAGATCCACAATTATTATTATAAACAAATTTTGTATAAAATTCATTATACACGTTTAAGAAGGGTGGTTAACAACATTTTTATACCATTTGAATCACTGCGATTGGATATGCCTGGGCTATATTTTTCTTTTAATTCTTGAAAATTACGTACATTAGTTAAATACTCTACTTGTGAAAAAATGGCAACACCTAAGAATATAAAATTGTGCACAGCTTATGTTTCTTTTATCATAATAAACGTAGACTTTGGCCATGCGTCAGCAATTTATCGAGAAGTATTTTTATTAACCAAAATTGAATCACTGACTCTTTACGTTATTCTAAGCGAAATATGTTAGTCTCTGATTTGCACGATTTTTATTTTAATGTCTAGCGATTCTTTTTGGAAAATACAGGGTATATTTTCCCTAACATTGTGTAATATTGGAAAATCAAAAACGTCAGGAACATCGTTATTAATATTTTGGCGTTTTTATTGATAATTCGATCAATTATGCAGATATCTGTAAATATGAAGATGTCCTGGCTTTGTTTGAAAATATGGACAGTTGAATTTAATACAATCTTTACGCGACATGAAGCGAACCACGAATAATTCCTTTTACTATTCCATTTTCAGCGCATGTTCCCTAAAATACTATTTCTTTCCCGGTATTTAATTGCCCGACCATTACTTTCGCTGAGTACCAATTGAAGTGATTACATCGCAATGACAGTGATTAATCCCTCTAGTGGTTAGCTCTACGTCTTCCTCTCCTTTGCATAGATTAAACGATTTATTCTTCTCTTTTACAGATGATCGCAAAGGAAAACGAAGCATCTGCTAGAAAATATAGTGTAAATGGAGCTGGAGATAATTAATGATGATCTTCCTTAACGAGTACCACCCACTTTCTCCTTGAATTAATGAATTGGGATCCGAGCAACTTGCCGTTATGAGTTCGAAGATGACGGCGTCGGACACAAATGGGGATACAAATTTCGAAACGTTGCATTTCGAGCTGCAAGAATTTAATGACAGCGGGACAAACGCTACTTTAAAGTTTGATCAGGCCTCGGAGATCTTGCAAAGATTTTATGATGACTTGAACAAGGAGACCAATTACTTCCTCATTACCCTCTACGTGCCGATTATCGTCTTAGCCGTCACCGCCAACATTCTCGTTGTCGTCGTCGTCTACAAATACCATTACATGAGAAGGTACATCATAGAACGTGCATGCAATTATTCCTATATTAACTATCGTTGAAACAGGACGCTCTTACATAACTCTACAATGAACCACAAGAATATTTAATTTCGATGAAAAATAATTTTCATCAAAGCGAGATACTTACATCTACCATGTTCGGTAACATGTACCCCGCAAAAACGCCCCATGCCACTTGATGATCGTAAGGATTAAGTTGCCATTAAGTGTAACATTTTTATAAAATATTTTTGAAATGTCCTATCGGAGTCTAAATATAATACAAATATAGCGTACCACAATATACAATCCGCAGAAACGAGAACAAAAAGTCATCGAAATTTGGTCTGGCAGAAACATGTTAAATAAGAAAGCACTGCTATTACATGTTATGTTTTACTTGAATATATCGAGAAGATATATAGGACAGACTTTAAACAAGATAACGGAGTGAAGCGAAATGTAGTTTTACACCTACCATTTGCGGCAATGGGAGCGATTTGAGATAGAAGATCTCAGAAATGGACCAACGCCACCCCGTTGAGGGTGAGAGTTCCGCTATCGCCTTGCAAAGTACACTATCAATTTTTTGGTATTACCGGGTCGTATTTTTGGACCCACGGGAAGCCAGGAAGGGGTGTCCACCTCGGCTTGTCTTGGCCATCCCTGATCCCGTAGGAGGCACCTCGGTATCCCAGAGACACCATTTCTCGGCGCCATTCATCGATGCCATTAAGCCCTCGGTATGATGGCTCACGCCTTGGCTTAGGTTGGTTATCTACGTTGTCCCCTCTGAGGTTTGCCTCTGCTCCTGGCGGATTGCTTTCGTCTAGTTGCTGCATTGGACCCGTCTGGCGTAGGTGCCCTTATCAAAGACCGGCTCAGCCATGGCGGGCCTTGAAGTCACAGCAATGCGCGAGCTCTTCCATCTGCGAGAAGACGGCAATCCCCCATGGCTCCTATTCTCGAGTTCATAGGAATTTTTTTTGCATATGAACAGACTCGGATAAAAAATATTCCATTGATGCGAAGTCGCGTCATTAGTCAACATTTGAACGTCGTATTCGAAACTGTCAATTTCGCATGCGAAAGTTGATTGCAGGGTTGATAGGTATAAAACGTCATGTAATATACGTGGTTTTCTCCGTGTATATTATAACATTCACTAATCCACATTTATTATCATAAATAAATTCGGTATAAAATTCATTATCCATGTTTAAGAACGGTGGTTAACATCATTTTTATATCATTTGAATTACTGCGATTGGATATGCGTGGGCTATATTTTTCTTTTAATTTTTCAAAATTATTGCTGCATTGAACCCGTCTGGCGTAGGTGCCCTTATCAAAGACCGGCTCAGCCATGGCGGGCCTTGAAGTCACAGTAATGCGTGAGCTCTTCCATCTGCGAGAAGACAGCAATCCCCCATGGCTCTTATTCTCGAGTTCATACGAATTTCTTTTTGCATATGAACAGACTCGGATAAAAAATATTCCATTGATGCGAAGTCGCGTCATTAGTCAACATTTGAACGTCGTATTCGAAACTGTCAATTTCGCATGCGAAAGTTGATCGCAGGGTTGGGTAGGTATAAAATGTCATATAATATACGTGGTTTTCTCCGTGTATATTATAACGTTATAACACGTCCCTAGTTTTTTACGCGAGTGCAAGGCATATTACGCCCTTCTATTTCTAAATAAAAAATAACGAATCCACGTAGAAATTTAAGATCAAACAGGGTTAAGTCGAAGGAATTTTGAACACAAGCGTCAAATTAATTAATCCTTAAAAATGTTTACTTGTTTACATGCGCGTTAAAAGACGTTTATATCCGCGCGGATGTATTGTCCATCAAGTTGTCCACCAAAGGAGAAGTTTTACTGGAGGGTTTCTAACGACCTAAGAAACTAGCAATTGCGGTTTTTAAAAAAGTTGTGAATTTTCTATGAAAGGTAAAAGGACCTGGAATAACAGCTAATAACGATCATCCTGTGAACATGTACATGTCACTTACGATGCATGTACAGGAACGCGTATACCTATAAACATGTGTTATATGTCACCTGTGAACTTCTGCGTGAACGTGTACGGAGATCCTAACATAAGATTAATTAGATTAAAACTCTTAACAAGCTGGGTACATGAATGAGTATACGAAGTTTAAAGTGTCTCGATAGTGTTCCATCAGAAACTTTTAACCGGTTCTCCGATAACTGCATTTTCTGATACTTCACGCAGCATGAGCCCACATGATAAGAAATTCATATAGGAAAATATTTATTTATAGCCACGCAAACGGAAAATATTAGAAAAGTCGCTGTATATTTTTGACGAAGTTTCCAAATTATTTGATTTGCTCCTGGAGATCGTTACACTAACGATAGTACTAACCTCTTGCACTCGAAGTTACTTTACCCTAATGTACCTCTTCTAGTTATGTTAAACCATTTCACAGACACCAGTCGAGTACAAAGGGTTAATAACCATCCTAGGCGCATCTTCGATCAGGTGAGTGTCTCTTTGTGCGCTGATGGAGGTACGGCTAGGATGAAGGTGAACTGTAATTATGAATCTAATGAGCACTATCATAGTCACTTTTATCAAATTGAACGGTCCTTTTGGGGAGGAAGGTAACAGTGACATCTTTTATTACATTACTCGGACGTGCAATCTTGTTTCAATAGTGAAAAATTGCGCATTTATTGAGATTCAGTCGACGTAAACTATGCAGATTGAAAATAACATGAAGGGGTGCTAGAGCCTAAATCTTCGTTGGGAAGAAATTCGAGGGTGAAGAGGGTGGTGTACTGAGGAATACGTAAACGATTGGAACTCTCCCTCTGGTAATAAATGATCTAAGGTCCAGACCTGCATTAGTGGCGCCCCAATAGGAAGGGAAGCGGGAAGCGATGATAGCATTCGACATCAGGGATATCACTAACCCGTATCGAGGGAGAAACGGGAGAAATGATGCCCCTTGGGTTTAGTTCGATCAGTTACTGCCCTTACGCACGTTTTAATATAAGTAACGACAACTGTTGGAACTAACTCGTACCTAAGAAATCAGATATTGTAATACAACTAACATTAACTTTTAATGCAGCTAATAATAACTAGCGTATAATAAAGTCAACTGTTTAATACCAACAGTGACAAGTTAATACTTTTTCTCTGAATAACTGTGAATTTTAAAGGTGTAATGAAAATTTCGTTTAAGACAAGCAACGTATTTTCGATAATCGAATTTTGGGGAAATCGATAGAGGGGAATGAAAATGCGAAATATTCGATAATAAGCTGCCCAGGCAACTCATGAAGTGGAATATACGTAAATTTATCGTCTAAATTAGGTCTATAGGCATAGTAAATGTATATCGTTTATCATCCACCTAAAACAATATCTAATACTCTGATTTTTTATTTACTTCCTCTTTGGCTGGGAACCATACATCATAATTTTTTACCACTGTGTAAATTATGATGTATCACCAGGCACCGTATGAAGTATAATATACTGGACGTACAAATTAGGACATACGTATAGAAAACTTACATTATCTATAGTATATATGATAAAAATATCCCGTAAATATACATGTAAATCTTGTGTACCGTACTGTATATATTTATAGTACTGTACTGAAGAAGTTCTTAAACAGACTCTGCTCAAAAAGTGGATATCTAAAGGAACAAAGGTCTCGTCACAACGCGCAAATGAAGGACATTTGTCACTGTCGTGCTTCTTGTGAAAAAACGAATTATTTCGCCGAAGAAATAGTAATAAGAGGAACATTTAATATGGGATAGAGAGATTTGGAGCATAGGCCACCCCAATAGGAGGAGTTGAGGGGAAACCCCATTTCAACCCATCATCAGGAGCAACGAGAGTGCGCTCTTATTTTATACTTACCTCGTAACACACAACTTTATACGAAGTGTTCACTGTCAATAATCGCGGACTTCGAACGATAAACTCGAGCATCACTCTTTATAAAAAGGAGTATTACTTCTTACACCTAGATATATGAAGAATAATATTCACAAGCTATGAAATTAAACCGTTTCAGTTTCATACTTACTGCACCGTACGTACAAAACTCAGTTCGTGGTAATAAGAAAATCTTAAGAAAATGAGTTAATCTCAACTTGATAGGTACAATTTACTATTGTAAGTTAGTGGAAGTTTTCAAAAATAATTTCTTTTAAATCATGCTTTAATGTTTGCAATGATGATAAGGCAGATGTACAAAAATCTAGAAGCGTTTAAAAACATCCTGATCTAGGTATGGGCTTAAAATGTTGACATTTCAAAAGACTTGCAATTGCAAAAATATTCGTGTAAAGATCTTCGGCGATATTAACGTCCAATTGTCCCTCGACGTTTAACATATTGCCGGCCGTTGTCACGTACGCGTGACTTCTTTTTGTCAGCGGTAATGCTTCTTTCCAATGAATGAATAGGTAGATATATTGATTCAGAGCAACAAATAATGAACAGTTTCTACCGTTTTCCCCTCAATATTTACCAGATCGTTTTTTGTTGAAATTGTTTATGCGGACGCTTGTTCCGTTAGTTTGAGATTGTCTTTCGTCGCTGCCTTCGAATATCGAAAGCTTATTGTTAGATCTATTAAAAATTATAAAATACCTTTCAAAATGTTCTGCAATGAAGAAATATATGCCGATGCATTATCGGACATGGATAATAGTTCTGACAGTGAAAGTGATAGCGATTTGGACAGTGGGAGCGATATCGTTGCGAGACGATTAAAAAATAAGGAAAGATCGATAATTAGTGACTCCAAAAGTGACGAAGAGAGTTCTTTGGCGTATGATTGGTCAGAAGTTGATTTTGAACCTGACTTCCATCCCTGTCAGGAACGGTCAACCTATATAATAATTTATATAATAATAATTTAAAAATATGAGACTATACAATTAAAATGGTGTAACAGTTATCTCAATTCTTTTTTTAATAATAATTATATTGCAACTATTGGGTAAATATCACCGTTGCCGAGCAGTAGAACCTGCGTGAATCTCGCCAAATGGCGATACGACAAATGAGCGGTCGGCTAAATGTTAAGAGTCCAGTGCCGCCATGTTGAAGTATCGCGTTTAGTACATCAGGCATTTTCCAGCGTTCCTTGGAAATCAAAAACATGAGTAATCCGACAGGCAAGGGACACGTGTTCCGAAAGTTACGACACTGAAATCTTACTATTCCTTATCCGGCCCCGGCGGTCTCGTCTTCTCGTTATTTCTCGGAGATTTCTGCCAACCCTTCGCGAAAGGCGCGGAAAGAGCTCACGTCCGAGCACGCGCGGTTCGTTCCCGTCGTTTGTCCTTCTCCTGGTTTTCCTAGGATGACGCATTTTCCTTCGGCAAGTAGAAACATCCGGAAACATAGAAATGACCAAGGCTCGTCCCCCTAGAATTTAAGTTAATGCCGGGAGGGGAAATCGCCTTTTTCGATGCACTGCGGCAATTGAACGTCCGAGGGGCCCTGAGAGGGCAATAAATTTCGAATGGCGCCGAGACACCTGCTTCTTCCGCTTATTTTTCTCCCGCTGTTTCATCTTTCTAACTCCTCTTATCCATTACTGTCAGGGCGATACTAACGATATCCGGCGGTGGTAGCTTTCATTCGACTTTCATAAATCCATCCGATGTGACTTGATCGTGGGCGGCCTTACTCAGCGCTTTCTTTTTTCGCGACCAAATGTCCACCGTTCATGGCAAAGTGTACAGGCCAATTCCGCTATTTCCGGCAAGTTCAAGCTACGAACTTCTTTGACCAAGGGTCAAAGTACGAGGTCAGGAAATCCGAAAGAAGGCAAGATTGAGTGGTGCCATTAATCCTGTACTCGTGTGGATATTTTTTATTCCTCTGCGTCCCTTCTACATGCACTGGTCGCTAAAAAATGCCAAGTTTTGTTACAATATGCATATATGTGTATGTAGTAAGTGTATACGTATATTGTTTAAGATAATGTAAAAATATAGTGATTCAATTTTGGTTTAAAACATTATATAATTACCGAAACGTGGCCATAGACTTCTTTCATTACTCTGAACAGTACACCTATGTGGTTATCAGACGTGCACAACTTTAATTTTTAAGATTTCCAGTTTTTTTTCAGGCGTTGAAGTGTATTTCATGATTTTTCACCGAATTGATACATTTTCAGAAGTGCTTCCGGTTATATATGAAAAAGTTTAGGGTGAAAGGTTATATTCTGTTTAAAAAAGTGCCGTATGTTATAAAGTTGTGAAGTATGGAAATTACTTCTTGTGGATCTTGTTAATATTTGACACTGTGAATGTTTGCGTCTCGATTATAATACAGAAACCACGAATTAAATTTGAAAACTTCTTAGCGGGGTTCAAGATAGACTTTCTACCAGGTGTTAATAATGGAGCAGGGTATGCAGGTGTACTTTTGAGCTCATAAAATGAATAAAATATGCGCTTGAAAAGTTGGTCATGGGACGTATATATTATTTGTGAAATTATTCCTCAAACGTGATTTATTGTCAATTGCTGAAATTTGCCGCCAACAAAATTTTTGATGGAAATGCCAAGATTCTTAGAATATTTAATAATGAGCACGTTACTTTTCTCAAGTTGCACTAATTCTATTTATTCGTAATTAAGTTTCAATTAACACCCTCGCAATTGTGTTCAGAGTTTCAAGTCAAACGTTGCATAATTATTCATTAAACTCGTACATTGACGTTAAACCTTGGTCAGCAATTTACAGGAATCCACAAGAAAATTTCTAACGCATGTTTGCCGCTTATTATTTAGAAGCTCGTCAAATAGCAACGGCTCGTCTTATCATTCATTATCGTAGCGATCACTATCGAGCGTTGCAAAATTATGTCCGTCCCTAGTAGCATAGAATAATTTCTAAATATTCCTTTGTAATATTTGCTAAACATCTCAAACGACAGATTTTTTAAGATTTCTTGTAGATTTCATTTGAAGATATTTATAATATTTGTTGAAAACCTCAATAACATATTTAGTTTCAATAATTTATAAACATATAGAGAAATATTTCTTAACTTATTAACATAATAAAATACATTTTTTACTTCGCGACTATTATCGGACACTTCATTTGGTATCAAAAAACACGAGAAATTTTTCTAATATTTTCGTTCCCCTATTTCATTACGGGAGCAAAACGTATGATTTTGATTTTAAATATTTTTAAAACGTTTATAATGTACTCGGCAGATAATATTTAAAAAAATACATGTATTAAAATGAAACGAAATGTTTTGTATATCTGATAGAAAAATATTATGAAAACACATGGAGCTAATATTATATAAATATTATAGAGATAATATTCTAAAGTAAACGTTTTGCAAATATTTCGAATGTCGAATAAATATTTACAAAATGTACGATATTCGTTAAATATATAGAAAATATAGGACAAAAATTTTGTGCTACTAGGGGTTATGTTATTCCTAAGCTAAGAAAAGACGTATTCAATTTCAGTCCCATCAACTACTTCGTGGTGAATCTGTCGGTGGCGGATCTTCTGGTTACCATGATCTGCATGCCCATGGCCGTCAGCCAAGCCGTTTCCATCGTTTGGGTCTACGGAGAAACCATGTGCAAGTTCTTTTTCTACCTTCAGGGTAAGCGACATAGTCGAGGGTCCCGTATCATCGGAAATATCAGATGACCCTTAGGTGTTAGCCGTACACTCACTCTTTTAACCTGGCCATTTACCACCCCACCGTATTCTCGTTTTGTCTGGACTTTCTGGACCACCGCTAACCCATATTTCCACCTTCTGTCAAACAGCCCTTTCTTTACTCTAAGGCCCCAGTAGGTCGATAAATTTACTCTGGCGACTTTTTCTCGTGGATCATGCAACATGACAATGCGTGGGGGCCCCTACGTCACGACAAACATTGATCTTTTCTCTCTTCTACCAAATTTCGTCGCAGCAGCCGATTCGAAAGAAAGTTTCTGAGAGTCCGAGGAAATCGTGAACAACGGACGCCGTGCACTAAATGGAAAAAAAAATGTAAACTCCATTTGTAAAAAGAATTTATTTTAGTCTGTTTATGAAAAGCAGAATATGTAAATAACCTAACTGCAGTAGTGTGACCCCTTTTCTTTCATAATTTCTTAAGTGTGCTACAATTAATTCAAGAATAATTGAAACATTCTAAGCATATCACGCATTTTAATAAATTATTGTGGAAGCTTCATCAGTGTATCAGTCCTGGGAAAATTAACGAAGCAATTGATGGAGTGCCCCATTATTATATCGAAACTTGACCCGATTATTCGTGACAAATTAGTTAATCAATGTTCGGTCAGAATTAATCTGCGGTTTGCTGATGTTAATAATGACTAGGATATCATCCACGCGATCATGTTGCAGTCCGATAAGAAAGGATCTCCGTCGAATGGTCGTCTCTCGTGCAAAATTGTTGCTAACAGCGACGACGGTAATAACTTGGAACGTGTAAATAAGCCTTGCGTATACGTGTCGGGTGCAAAGAATGTCAAAGGAATCGATCTAACGATTGAGTTTGTCGAGCGTCACCCTCGCCTCTCGTCGAGGACATCCTTCGCGACGCCCTTTCTCGAGATGCGGATGGTCGTAGGAGAAGCTTTTTTATCAAACCTCGAAGAGATTGCACAGTGACCCTCAGAACCTAAGAAAAGTTTGCCGAGGACGAACAAATTAAAATTGACTCCCATACTTTCGGTCTACACGGCCCATCGTACATTTTTTACATTCATTTTGTTTTTTCTCAGTTTTTACCCCTTTTCTCATATTTGCAACTTTTCTATTGTTGCTTGAGATAACACGGATAAAAGCGGTGCCAAATGTGACCACTTAAATCCAGTTCATGGTAATTTCATTGATGAATGCGATCGTTTAATTTCTTACAATTAATTGCTACCTGTACTTCGGTTCATCGGATTTAACGAATGTTTCTAGACTTTCGGTATCTTGAAATTAATAATCATAAGGGATGCTTCTTTATCAAACCGCAAATTGATTTCGCAATGAAAATTTTCAGCGCGCAGAATAATTCTTTTTCGCAAGTTTATTAGAGAATTTCTCATGAGGAATCACATGCAATGCGTGTTTCTGAGTTTAATTAAGGCTGTTTCACTGTAGCAGTACTTTTAACTCTGAGCAAACTTGAATCCATGTCTCACTCAACCATTTGAGCCATCAAGATCCAAGTTCGTGACACAACGCGGTTAAGTTAAGATTAGACACCCTGACTTACTTTATTAGTCTCGTTCCAACTAATTAAAGACTACGCTTGCCGTTTGTAACAATTCTCAGTCGTTTTCGTATGTTGCTTACAATAATCTCTTTCCATGTAAAGCAATTAAGGTCGAAGTACGGTGTTAATCGCCAACAAGAAAGGTGAAAAAATAATCCGACCTACTATCATTAACTATAATCCATTACCATTAATTGGCGATTTAAGGCTATTGATTTCAATAGCATGAAATAAATCACTCACGTTCTAAATTTATATTTTCGGTGTTATACATATTCATACAATATTCAATAAGGATCGAAAGGTTCAGGGGCAAATGGTTTTCTTTAGGAAGTTCTACTGGAAATGAGTAACTCAATTGATTTTAAATCCATTATCATTAATTAGCAATTTAAGGCTATTGAAATCAATGGCATGAAATAAATCACTCACGATCTAAATTTATATTTTCGATGTTATATATATTCATACAGTATTCATTAAGGATCGAAAGGTTCAGGGGCAAATGGTTTTCTTTAGGAAGTTTTACTGGAAATGAGTAACTCCATCGATCTTAAATTACAGGTGTATCAGTGGCTGCTTCCGTCTTCACAATTACCGCCATGAGTATCGACAGGTATTTGGCAATAAGGAGCCCAATTGCACTCCGAAGGGGGTGCAATCGGAAGTGCGCCATTTTGGTAATCGCTGGCCTGTGGATGGTAGCACTCGGCATCTTCACGCCGCTTCTCAGGGCGGTGAGAGCTTGAGCCACTTCTAAACGTGTGTGTGTACTCTTGAAATAAGTACCAATTTTAACTACTGCAGCAGCCGTAATAATCTCTCTGCTTATTACGGCTATTGCAAGTCTAGGGCCATGCTACTAATTAGGGACCTCATCATTACACGAACTCAACACGAATGAATTCTCTAATTACGTATCGTCTACGTCAATAGTGATGTTAAAAATTAAGAGATGAAAAATATTATGCAATACTTGGTTCAGTTTGATGAAAAGTAAAATGTAGAAAATAAATAAGTCCTCTGTGGTAATAGCCATAACTCGGAATTATTATTTTTTTCGTTAATCTGAATACATTTCGTGAACTCAGTTTTGTAGCTATTTAAGCGGTTCTTGATGTCCAATACCTTAAATTCATGACAGAAATGATAGGGATAGGATGTAATAGTATATATATTTTGCAAAATAATTATGGGAGGGTAAAATGCTGAAAAAAAAATGGATTTTGCAACAATTTGCAACTTTATATCATCGACAAAACGTGGAACTTGTATTGTCAATTCTGATAGAATGGTATTAAATTATAGTTTACGATGCTGTTAATAAGTAATGCGACGAGGAAGTCAGAACTAAATCGATCATTTAAAAGTGAGATACGGAAATTCTAATCAACGATGAGGTTCATGATAATTTTATGCATGATAACTCTAAAAGCTGAATTGGAAAAGGAAATGTTAAGGTGTTAGATCTTTAAAAGACAAATAGTCAATCCGATGGTACTTGATATTTAATTTATTCTGGAATATAAAAACAAAGTAAGTTAATTGCAAGTAGTTTAGATTCGAGACCGTTGATGGGGTTACCCCTTCAAGTACAATCATAGCTAACAGTTTAATCAATAATGTTCAATTGATTGCACAGACGCGGAAACTGATACCCAGCAAGTCAGGTAGCAACAAGTGTGATTATATCCTCCGGATGATAATTAGCCGTGAAACTTGGGATATGATTAATTAAACACGGAAGATTCGTGTTTATTGGAAATATGCCCCTGATAATTAGATTTTAAGTCTACACGCTATACGGTATGGATGTGTTATCCGAGAGAAAGCAACAAATTTTCTAGAACAATTTCTACCTTACTTGATTAACAATGAACCTTATGAAAGCTTTCGCCAATTGAGATCCATCTTCTCACCGGATGTTAACCGTAGAGTTTTTCATGGAAATTAGAAAGTATATAATATATTCAGATTCAGGAGATTACCCTTTTTAATTAATTTCAAAACGTTATTATGATACAACATTTTAAAAGATAAAAATACATTATCCTATACGGATATATGGATAATTCAGCTTTTCCCCTGTACTGTTCATTGTGCAATATTCAATATTCTTTTGTGTGCAAGAGATGCGTAATCAATTATTAAGTGAACACTTCAGGATTGAAACACAGTCAACAAAATGCCATACTTTGGAAATAAATATTATCGAGAGTATTTTAATAGATGCAATGTCCAATAACATTAATAATTTTTCTGACGGGAATGTCGATATTTTCCTCGGTGAAGTCGTTAATGTGTCCCATTATGTTCCAGGAGAGGACGTTTAATCCGAAATTCAATTAATGTTACTAGAAGAATATATAGAAGAAACATTATGGCTATAATTAAAATAGTAATAAAAACCTGTTATAATAGAAAAATAAACTTTAGCCCTGATCAAAAATTATTAATCGCCAGCTTTTCGATTAAAATACTTAGATTAAGAATTTTACTTTAAACAAAAAATGATTATATTAATGACAAAATTACTTGCGTCCACTGTCACTACCAACTATTATGGAAGGAAATCTCACCTGAAATAAAAATGTCACAAGGGAAATAGAAGCTAACGTATGGCAAGGGGATCAAATACATATATGTATATATATTTCCGTGCTCAATACTTAAAAAGGCTATTTGATTGTTGCACGAGTCTTTCTTTATTGTTTGAATGGCCCATAAGTTCCGCTTTACGTCCAGTACAACTCCATTTATCCGATCACGTCGAGTTTCGAAACGGCTCGGATAATAGCAGCTCATTGATTCCCCTCTTCCTAACGATTTTTTGTTCGGATAAGTGGATTCAAGGTGCATTATTGTGTCTTATCGTCGCTTCTTTTCTTTCTGTTGTGTAATTTCTATTAGGACTTCGAGAGCGTACACGTAACCGATGAAATAAAAAGTATTCAATAACAGCCGATATTATAAAACCTCGGTATTCGAAATTTGCATCTTGCACAGATTTGTAGAAGATAAATATTTATTACAATTAATTCGAATATTGAAAGAAATAAGATATAATAAAAACATTATTTATCTATAATATGTAATATATCATCAAAATATGTCATAGAATATCAGTTTATTCTTATCTTCCCGTTTGAGTCGTTGATTAGAATTAAAGCCTAACGAATCGTTTGAAATTATGCCCGATTACGGAAGAAAATTTTAATGAAACTATAATTAAAAGTGGTAGAAGACGTTAATGCAGAAATGATTTGTTGATTAGGTAGTAGTTTTCTGAAGATATTGATGATCAGTGGAGATGATGATACGTACGATATTCTTTTGCTAGGTAACCCTCCACAGTCCCATCACAGACCTTGGTAACATAACTTTGGTTGGCAAAGAGGAAGTCAAAACACCTCCACCTTTCTATGTCTGTTCGGAAGACTTCAAACCCGTTGGTATACAACCTCCGATTTTTGGGACGTTCTGTTTCGTTCTCGTCTATGCAGTGCCTGGTAAGCAAGTAGAATCCTACACTGACGTGAAAATGTCTACAAAAATCTTATGGAAAATTAGATGGTAGTTTAATTTCCGTTTATGGTGATTTTAGGATTTATCGTGGTACTTGCTTACTCGATGATGGGCCGAACTTTATGCGCCCGAAAGCCGCCATTCGATAGTGACAGCATCAAGGGTAGTGCTAGCTCGCAGCAAGTATGAAACCGAATTTTTAAACTTTCCTACAATTAATACTGATAGCCCGGCATGTGACTATTACTTATACCTCATATTTTATTAAACACAATATTTATTATCGATTATTCAGTACACCAACATCCAGTTTAAACGCCGAATCTTGCGTCGGAGCGTCTCCTTACAAGTGCACAATAAAAGAAGATTTTGAAAGAATATTCTTTGCATAGTTCGAACCATTTGCATAGGAAAAACAAGTGTCGTTGTATTTGGGATGTTTATTTATGTATTCAATGTTGATGAGCGGATAGTGTATTACAAATGTAATTAAATGAAATGTTAACTTTGAGCTGGAACAATACGAAGTTTGCGGGAAACTAATTGTACCTATGCATCGATAAACGTCTGCTTGCGCTAAAGTGCAAGATGATGATTAGATCGTTTAAAAAATTTATTTTTTCCTAGGGCTTCAAATTAGTTCGAGAAAGGAGACGAGTAGCGTGGGTCCTGCTTCTGTTAGCGGTCCTCTTCGCCCTTTGTTGGCTGCCCTACAACGTTCTTCAACTACTTATCGATCTTGAAGTATTCGGCAAGTAGAAAGGCATTGATTTTATATTCCTAGTCCATTTACCGTCTCCCCCAGAGTTGTTAATAAAGTTCGGGATAGAAGTCCATTGATGAACTAAATTATGAGCTTCAGACAATGGTCTACTTTTCCAATGTCTTTGACTTAGCTTGGAACGACTCGTTTGAAAGCTCAATAAAGTTTGGAATCTGAATTTAAAATCCGAAGTACATACAAGGCTTACCTTCGACATAAGCAATAGCCTAATCTGGAATTCGTTACGATTTTTCAAAAATAATAATAATCAACATCTTGATTGCTTAAGCTTAAAAACATATATTNAGATATTTAGCAAAGATTACAAAGAAATATTTAGATATTATTCTGTGCTACTAGGGACGTTTCAGTAGGATAGAACTGCCAAAGCTCTTGTTCGGTGGTACTTAGTTTTCCTGGTTAAGTCAAAATCAATATTAATTAAACGCATCTAAATTCCACATTTAATTGATTGAATTATATCGGTACACGTATTATACATGAAATATTACATGTCGCGGTAAAGCTTCATAGAATCGAGCATAATTTTACTCAATGTCCGATTTACCAAGCTTACTGCTGCCGCCCTTATTATCGGACATTGTCAAGCGGCACTCCTGCTACATGAATACTTGTCAAGTCCTGATCTCGACAACACATAGATTATAGCACGCGATAATCGGTCTGAAATTGTGTTACCTGATCGAGAAATCGTTGATAGAGAAGGGAATCAGTAAGCTCCTATTATCCGGTTGTCCCAGTTATTGGAACCATCATCTCTCTCGATATGTTCGCACAAATGAAATTCTCACGTACTTAACACGTCCATGATCAATAACTTAATATTCTCTCATTAGTGCTAGGCTTATTACGCTGTTAATACAGTGAACTTCTGAACGATTAAATACCCTTTCACGACCCTTTTAATGCGTAATTTTGACTTAAGCATTTGTAGAGTTCAGAGAACAACAAAGGTTTCTATTTTGACGATGGTGATGTTTAAATAACTTTTTATTTTCATTGCAACTACGACTGCGTTGAAACCGCGTTAGATATCTAGAAGTGCACTTGAATATTTTGGGTTCTTATCGGCTTAATTGTCAATTATGATATGTGTTGGAAAAGCATATATGTATATAATGCTTCCATATTGCTGGTCGATCCTTTAAAGCAATCCTATTATTACGGTGTAGCCAAGCGTACAGGTGATCTTACGCATGCATTATCATTCTGTTATCGAGACATCGAAGCAGGTCTCCATTATACAGAACTTACATAAAATTAAGTGACAAGTATTCTGTATCCATGTACAAAAATGATCATTGATCGCGTAATAACCCCATATGATCCCACATTTACTTTTAAGCCTACCATACATGACTAAATAGTAACGTACATATAGATGTTTAAGAAATTCCATTGGAAGGATTGAATGTTTTCTCATTGAATGTTTTCCACTATCTTTTCCTATTTTTCCTTCACATCTAAAATATTTCCTTTATTAAACTAGATTAGCGGGACATCAGCGTTACATATGTAACTTAATGTCACACTGTACGACATTTATTAACAAACGTAGTACTTTTGTAAAGGCTAAGTTCCGCACTGATTAGGAACCAGTGTTTGAACTATAAAAATTTACTGAAGTGTGATAGAAATATTTATCCTTAATAATTAATGAAATATTTTTACTGTACGTGTGTTAGAATCATGTAAGTCATGAATGCATGCGTCATTCAATGAATTCAATATTCCATTGTAAATCTAAAAAAAACTGTTAATATTGTTCACAGACAGCGGAAGCGATATATCGAACTTGGTGTCCTATTGTCTGTTCCTGGGTCATGCGAACAGTGCTCTCAATCCAATGGTGTATTGTTTCATGACACGTAACTTTCGGGAAAGTGTATCAGAAATTCTCTGTCGTACTCCCCACGGTTTGACACGTCGCAAGCCACATCGTAAAGTAAGTATCGACTACTTTTGAGTCCAAGATGGATGCTGTGATAGATAGCACGCCTTTTTCCCTGATCTTTCATTCCTCCCGAGACTCCTCGACCGAACGAACGATACAAATTCGATCGAACTTCTATCGGCAGCATACGATTGCTTTGGTGAATGCCTCGCGCCTTCTTTGCAGTTATAAAACAGAATATCTACTGAATGTATGATGAGCTTTCCTATATCGATCGAACACCTATAGCCTTCCTATATTGGTTGGACCATGCTAAGCTAAAGTGCTTGAGACAATACTTTTTCTAAATCAGATAAGCTATTTTTGGCTTTATTTTGTTTGTTTATTGTTTGTGAATGATTTATATCGTAATAGTAGTTATTACTCTTCTTTGGATGGTGTTCGGCCATGTACAAAAATAATAGCCATTTCCTGCACATTTCCCAGGGACGGACACATTAAATATTAATATACAGAATAGGAAAAAGTAATACTAGTTATACTTATATAAACAGAATATAAAAATTATAGACAAAATAGATACGGATACATAACAGCAAAAAACCCATATAGTGAAAAGAGAAAACTATGTAGTCCTTGTAATCTCATTCTCCTCTATCACGATTCATACGGTAATAATTTCTGTTATTTTTAACAAATTCCAAAAATTATGAGAATTAAATTCAAAGTTACAGGTCCTATTATTCTGACTATGGTTATTAATTCGATCGTTTTGTGTTCGTTAAAATGGGCGGAGATGATTGTACAACCAATTCATTGATGAATTTCTCGGCTAGTGAATACGAAGGAATGTATTTATCCGTAAAAAACTATATTTTTCATTTTACCTAATGTGAATATAATTTGTTGCATAAATTTATACTTTGTATAGGACTTTACTCAGAATATTAGATCATTTTTTCCTGGAGAATTCCTCGCAAATTATTCACTTAATATTTAAAATGCCAATAATAAGTTACTACTTGTCCACCTCCCGAAGGAAAGTTTCTTAAAGCGAAACGATATGAAAAAGGCGAAATTATTTGATTTATCAGATCAGCGTTGGTGTGGAAAGAAGTAACCCTGGGAACGAAGAGGCTAGGAATTTAATTATCATTTTACTGGGTCGAGCGGGAAGCGTAGGCGTCGGAACGAATAATTTATAACGTTGACTTAAAGGCGCGTCCTCCTTCGATTCCGACGTTATTCGATATCAGAAACTCTTAAAATTACTTCCCTTAAATAACCGTGAAATATCCGCAAAGTGTATTTACATAAATCATCCCTGGATCAATGAAATGCCAATTTAAAATGCCTTTTAACCCTGAAGATCACAGATCCTTTGCATAATTTCCATCACTCCATCGTCGTTCCGGAATTTTTCACTAAAGAAATTTCTATTAATGATATTTCCTTTGGAAAAACTTGAAATAAGAATACATATAATAGTAAAATATAGCCATTTTCCATTTCCCGAAGAATTCCGTGTCAATGGCTCTACTTTGACTATGGGCACAGGATATAAGAACAAAGGACGCGGACACTGAACCGATTATGAAGAGGAGCAGAACTGAAAGAGAGAAAACAAAGAGGCTGTTTTCTCTCTCTTTTCCCTCTTTTTTTGCGTCAAACAGTTGCGCAATATTACGATGGCCTATCTTCTAGCAAGAAAGAAGGAAAGAGATGTGGAGGAAAAGAACAGCCCCTCTGTTCATTTTTATCCTTTATCTTCCTTTACACGAATACCAAAGGTTGAGTTTCTGGGCGCCAGAAAGCTCTACATGCCGTAGAAATAAAAAGTAACAAGTCCATGTTCACAAGCTTTCATGAAACTTATTCCACGATATGGAATTAAAATCAGGCAAAAAGATAATAATAACTTCATATTGGCAAAACCTGGAGTTAAGACTGTTTACCTATATGGTACAGACAAACCTATCCTACGTCAATTGCTTTGATACCCTGCTCCTTAAATACGATTAGGCATCAAAATGAATTTTTTTCAACACGAATTAGGCGAGTGATCAAGAAACTCGTAATGTCGAATGATGAGCAAAACGTGCCTTGCGCGTTTGAGCCTCAAAGAGTTTCTCGAGAGGCTATTCACTTGGAAATCTGTAAAAATGATTTCCTTCTTTTGATTCCGTATGATAAGCAACATTGCGATTCGGTAAGAAGGAACGTGCGGCCTTAATTAAAATCGTGACAGTATTCGGTGATTTCGAACGATTTCCATGATTTTTCCATTCCCTGATTTCTTTTGATTTCGAGGTTTAAAATTCGATTTCCTAAGTGAATGCCTCCTCGGAGTTTCTTTTGCCGTTGATGCGGACATTCCGTGGTTCTAGACTGTGGGTGCTACCGAGGACGATTGCGTCGGCTTCAACATGGAACAGGGGAACCTCGTGATGGGTCGCGAAGGTGCAACGCCTTTGCGAGTCCACGCTGTAACCGCGCTGCAGCGAACTGCAACATCGAGCAGCAGTTATGACAGCTTTTGCAAACGCTACCCACAACGGAAGTCCATACCTCAACCCTTGCCCAATGACCAACCCAAATGCTCGGTGCAGCGGAATAACGTCCTGCAGTCTGCACTTGATCGACCGGCTCATCAAGCGAGTAGCATTACCACTCCTCTTCAGGAGCACACTTACGTACATCTGACACTAGCGGAAGAACAACGTTGATACCTTACGTAATCAACCCATGGCTGACGGTTCTCGTGGATATGGAACTCCCTCGTCTTACCGGCAAGCATGTAAGCATAACCCGGATTCCAACTACATTTAACCCTTAACGCTCCATGTGTGCCTCTCAAGCACCACCGATGTGCGGCGTTCTACTCCAAGTGTGCTTCTGAAGCACCATCGATGTACGGCGTTCTACTCCAAGTGTGCCTCTCAAGCACCACCGCTCCGACCGACTTGCAAGTTGAAGTATGATGAGAATAAGTTGGAGTTGCCGGTCGATATTCCCAATTAAAAGTCGGAGCGTTAAGGGTTAAAGGAGGCTTCGCTCCGAAACAACGATACTCAATGATTTCTAACAACTTAGTTGTATCAATTTCGATTTTCTAATATTTGTATATGCTATCGTTCACTTACAACCTTTGCTGTATCTGCGCAGTGGACCATTTTCTGTACGTCTATCACGCTATTTCAACCTTGCCCGTTACTGTCGATTCTTTCTTCTTTTATCAACTCGTTTTGGGAATCTAGGAATAATTACGAGGATTCTATTAATTTTTTGTTAGTTGGGATATAATAATAATTACATTGGAAGGGCGCAATGGCTAACGCGTTATTGTTTTGCGTGGGATTAATTTTTTGGGGAAGGGGAATTTATAGGCCGTTAGACTTTATTAAGATTGGATTAGGAAGGGGAATAAATTGATTGTAAATTCGAAATCAGCGCTGTTGAAAATCCCCGAGTTCTAATTGTTGCGCCGATTTAACGAAACTTTGGGATTGGGATCCGCTGCAATGATAGAATTTTGAAATTGGTCTGTACAGGGTCTGAGGAGGATTTGATGCAAATATTAATGACATTTATAATATCGGCGACCCCGAATTTGGGAAAACGCCTTTTACCATTTTCTGATATATTTCCGTTAAGTGCTTCAAATCTCGTGAGGAATATTTCATTACATACACAACAAAAAAAACGAACGAGTAACATTGCTATAGTAAAGTGCGATGACCATGGATAGACATTGTGACTTTGAGGACATAAAATTAATTGTTATAAATATCAGATCTTCATTTAATTTAATACCACTGTTTCACGAATAATAACATTCTATTTTGCCTTAAATTTACAGATCTTTTCCAGGCGCATGTTATAAAAACTATATGATCAGTACTGAAGTACCAAAAGATGATCATTTGAAATATCGACCTAATTATTTATTACTGCTGACGGTGGAGGCCTTATACAATGCATTCTCAACAGGAATAACCATCAACCTTTCATCGACGGCAAAGAATTTCAGGCAAATAGATTTAGATAGTCGTATGTATGTACATGTAAATAGCGAACAAGTACTTTAACAGAAATAATCACCACCGCTAAGTTGAATCCTCGGTATTATTAATTAAATTAATTTCATTAAATTTAAATACCGCTTTTCCATATGCCTCGAATGTTTATGTTGTTCAGTAAATTACCGAAAAATATTTGATTTTGAGAAATACTTAATATGTACCAGGTGGACCAAATAGTGTATATTTGTAGAACATAATTAATTTTAGGACTTACCAACATCTAACAATAGCGAAGTAACTCAGGAAAGTCAATTTAGCAAAATTGAAACCAATTGAAAAACAGAATTTGAATGTCAATACACATTCACACCCCAATTCTTCGTACAAAAGAACTAGTTCACCTTGTGTAGAGCAATGTTATTAAAAGAGTCAATGATATTTTTAAAGAAAGGTTCCCTTAGATATAAAAAACTTGAACTGGTAAGTCCGCATGTGTCGTTATTATTGTTACGATATCTTATGTAACAGTAAGCTTACGATTGTAAAAGTTGCAACAACATTGCTCATGTAAATGTATCCTTAATAGTAAAATAAGACCCAACCAGGAAAAGAATTAATTAAAGAAATCACATGTCAAGTACTTAAATAGAAAATATATTCGGCTAAATTCGTTTAAACGTGTTCGGTAGGAAATTTCTGTATCACTTTGATCAACGATAATTTGCATAACTGGTTAAACACTTATAATTTGAAAGGACAAGATTAGTGGACTCAGTTAAATATAAGTACATATAAGACAAATATGTCGTCTCTGTGTGACGATATAATCCGTACATGTTTTGGCGTATTATCACAATGTGTTGTCAGTGTAGTAGAATCTCGATTATCCGAACACTACTTAGTTGACTACTGGATTATCTGAATGATAACACCTAAGGAACAGAAATAAACATTTTCAGTGTACATAGGTCAGTTTACATAAGTACATTTGAGCGTACTCGTTAATGTAAAAATAACGTGGAATAAGATAACCGAATGATACAGAGATAAGAAGTACATACCTCTGATAATAATATTTCTAGATATTCTGTTTTGATACATTCATACGACTTGCTTCCGGTAATGACATTTCCAGTCATTCCGTTTTAATACGTTCATTATACGTTATAAAATATGTTAACTACTTAACAGAACAGTTTTTATGCAAATCGCATCGACGCATTCGATCATTTGAACATTCTATATCCAAGTTCGTTCGGCTAATTCATATTCTACTGTATTCTAAATAACTGTTTTTAAAAGTGCTAAGTGACCGCCGTTGTAACTATTTCAACATATATTTTTTGTAACAAAATAAATCGACAAGAAAGAAATTACATCCAAAGCTGAGCACGTGCTTTTAAACACGCTTTCCCATTTTTCGAATGTCAAATCTTTGCCATGATTATTTATGACAACAATGATAGAATGACATTATGACGAAAATAATAAACAGTTATATAACAACAAGAAATTAAAAAGTTCTTGTATATTTATCCTTCTACAGTATATCGCACTCCCTATTTACTGTAGATTAAGCGTTTTAAAATGAAATAAAGTAAAATAAAATGATATAAAATAAATTACAAAATGGAGGATCTACATATACTTTCTCTTGGTGGAAAATTGAGTATGACAATATCTATATAAATTTAAGGCAAGCTCGGTTGAAAGAATTTGTTGGGAGCACTGATGCCACTATAAATTGTGATTTACAGGCGAAAAGTAGAGTAGAGGAAATGTTAAAAGTCTCGGTGGCTAAAGGGGGCTCGTAAAAGTTCCATCAAATTGTGGAGTTTACGATTCATCCTTCTCCATTATTTGATACTTCCACCGGCCTGCAAAACGTGTTGATCAAACTCTTCGTGAAAGTTCGAAGGTATCAAATATGAATTTCTAGAATCGAAGGTCGATTTAATTTTCAACATAAGAGAGATGTCTATAAAAAGTCAATGAATACTTGTGTTGTTTAAAAATACCTCTCGATAACAGGGCTTCTAATACATTGTCCAAAGTACCTTTTTAAAATAACGTTTTTAATCTCCTAAGCGGTTTCTATCTCCTTTCATTTATTGACTAGATCGTTCTTACCTAAGATTCTGCTATATCAAATTTCATAATACTCTATGTTTTATGAAATACTTGTGCAGTATAATTACTCGCCAGAATGAAAAAGTTGTTTCCTTATATTAATACTGCAAGGCGTAAGATAACTATTTCAAGTTTTTGTTTTTCCAGCATCGTCTAAAAATTATTGTAATCTACAATAAATATATAAATAGCGTTTATTCGAAATTTTTATTGCACTATATTAAACCTTATCAGTTGCCGAATCTGACTTAATATCACACACCATTGTACCAAGGGTATGCGAAATGAAACTTCGACTGTAAAAAGTCAAGTTCGTCTTGTACACATGTTGCAATAATACTGCAGCCGCTGCTCAGGTAATACAAAAACAACCTTACAATTATTGAAAGTTGAATTAAAAAAATCCGCACAGGTCCCACCGAAACAATGAAGGCAGCCTATTTTACTTATACATTTTTTTATTACACATTACACTCAAAAAAAATAAAAATAAAAAGTGACGAGATGTACATCGATTTTCATTGTCACTCGAATTTACCATCTGATGCTTCCGTTTCTTAAGTCCTTGTACGCCGATGCGGTAATAACGCCATGGCTTTGACTATAACTGTTTAATGATCTAAGGTTCCTGACCGCAGTGTTTGGTTTCTGAATTGCATTAAACCGAAGATTATTTTTCAGGACCTGACTCCTCGTAACCGCACTTCTCAGCCGGTGATTTTCTACATTCCCAGGAATAGGATAAGATTGCCGACTTTCCGGATGGCCCGTCGACGATTGATTTGAACTTTTGGTGCGAGCAGAAGCTAATCGTTCACGAGTTAAAGGGATGGGAAGAGTCTGATTCAGGTAATTCTGAATCGCTTGGCTCTGAGGAGCCGTTTGATTTACGTTCATATTTGGAATGGCGTTGGAGTTGTAATTCGGCGAGAAATGTTTCGAAGCATTGTTTGGCATTTTCGTGACGTGTTTCGCTTGACTCCTAGGGCTTTCCTGGCTTGGTCTTTTTGGCAATGTGGATTTAGAATTCCCTGGTGGATCCGGCTGTTGTAACCGCTGAAGAAATTGCGGCTTACTGCCTCTCCTTGGCTTCGGCTGATTCACCGAAACCGATGACTTGCCACCAGCTCCATGCTGGAATTAAATTTATACATGTCAGGCAATTTAAATGTTTACATGTCGAGCAGCCCAACAAACATCTCGCACTGATGTAAAAGGTTTCCAAATAGTCCATTCAAAATATACCGTGTCACGATATTAACTTACTTTTGCATAATTATTGCGTAAAGTAATTTACAGGGTGTGAAAGCAACGTATGGATTGTCTAATAAATTACGACGATGTCTGGGAATCACGAGATGGAGATGTAGAATTATATTAATTGAAACACATTCTCCCGCGTTAATGTCGAAATGCTATAATTTCTCGATATGTGGAAAACAGACTATGTCTAATGAATAAAATCCTTTACATAAACAGACGTGCTAAAATTAATCCAAGAGATATCACGTATATTGCGTGGAAGATATAGATGTGATGGAATTACCAGCAAAACTTTCTTAGAATTCGAAATTACGAATTCGTAAAATAATCCATACAAAGGTCATGTTCAAGTAACATAAAAAATTGAATGGATTTTTGAGGACGTTCCTTTTCCAACAATGAACGATCTGGAAACTCATGGATATTGAGCTTAATCTTCATATATGATATGCAAATGTTCACACGGATATGCCTTAGTAGTAAGATATGCATGAGTACAATCGTGGGTGTTCCACTTTGGTGAAAACTTACACTTGCAGCGATAATTACAACTAAGATACAATTTAATCGAAAGGATTTGAAATTCTACAGAAATAAAAAGAATAACGTCTTGTAATTTCTGGTCACTTGTCTGCAGGGCCACATGTGTAAGTCTCCACCCTAAGTCCGAAAACTGAAATAGTCACAGTACCTAAATGATTCCCAAACGACACGTTGCCTGTAACGATACAATCCCGATTTTATACCACTTTAGTACATTAGAAAAATGTCAAGAAAAAGACTACCATTTACTTACGACTGTTACTTGATCCGACTGGATAGACCTCTGAGACTTTGTCATCTGTTGCTGTTGTTGGTTCAAGTACAAACAACTCTTTGCATGGCCAGGGGGAAGATTCCTAAAGTTGGCGTTCATCAGATTGTATGCGTACTGAGCAGCTACGTTTTTTCCTCCAATAAATGAATAATCACTGTATTATTTCATTACTGCTTTCTGTTACACGTGACAAAAATGTGTTCTCGTATGTAGGTTCTCAAAGACCACGTAGTAAGTGAACTTGCTACCGTCATTAATTGTTTAATCGTTATCCCAGTTACCGTCATACTTCGTGGATAATGGTTTTAAATAACTACCTGTGTGTTGAGGATTCTTGTCACTTATCGTCTCGACATTGCCCATTTGTGATTTGCCGGTTCTTACATTGCTGACATTGACATACGTAGGTAACTCCGCCTTTCGACGCACCGCTACCGGACGTGAAACTACGTACAAATAACAAGAACAATGAGCATGTGAAATTCAATAGTTTAACAATTTTGCAAGAAGCTTCAAGTCCATTTTCTACCGAGCATTCAACCTCTTCTGATAAAATAAACTCAAAACTCTACGTATGAATTCTTAGAAAACAAAACAGTAGTGATGTATCTTATGTAGTGAATAAATACAATGAGAAATAGAAATGCTTGATTGAAAAATGGAATTATTAAAAGTTAGGTTTACCGTAAATTTCCGATTGAGGAGCTTTGCAAATTTCAGTCTTGGCCTTTTCCTTCCGTATATCGTCACACGAGAAGTGGAAGCTCTTCTTCACCGTGGCTGCGTCTCCCTGACCGACGGTACTCGACTCCTTCCTGATGTGTTCGGAGAGACGTCTGATTCTAGACTTGGACCTGTCAGAAAATTTCTTTTTTAACCTACGCACACAAAAACCAATAGGAAAGAAACCCTTGGTCAGTGTCCTCCAGGTCGACGAAACGTTTCGTTGAGCAGTTTGGTGATCGAGGACTTACATATTCTTGTGCTTTCTGTGTTTCTCATCCATCATGGCATAAAGTTTGTTTCGGTACTCTTCCACAGAAAGCTGTACGTCGTCCCTCAAAAGTGGAATCACGCTGGACCCTCTTTCGGGTTCATTTCCCCTGTTGTGAAAACTAAGGAAACGTTATAAAGAAATTTTAGTTGCACATCTCGGTGTGATTATACTCATTCTTCGTTTCAATTTGTAATTTAATGACGTTTTTCAGGAATATATGAAATATTACGATAAACGGAACATCTATACAAAGTGAATTATTTAAATCGATCGTCTGAGAAAAAGAATACGACCTTTTATGCTACTAGAGACTGACTACTTGAAATAACCTGTCTTGGGAGATGTGCATATAATTGTTTAGAGTTCGATCAGCATGCGGATCAGCGACTCACTCAGCAACATAAGGATGCTCCAGAGCTTCAACGGCAGTTAACCTGTAGTTAGGATTGAATACGATGAGATTGCTTGTGAGGTCAAGAGCAGTCTCAGCGACATCCGGAAGGAGCTCCTTCAAGGTTCTTCGAGGGCCACTTGGCGTTTTCTGGAGCAAATTGGTGCCGTATCCTGCACTCACCGATATGAGATCTAACAAAGGACAAATAAATTCCACAGGTTCAAATTTTTCACCTCTCATTACCCTAAAATTCAAAATTTGTCAATCCACTCTGGAATCCATTCGGCAAATCGTATTCGACTGCAAATAGCACGTGATTTTGTGTGTACGCGTGTGTGCATACGTGTGCATATATACACGTACTTGTATACATTGGGTACAACTTGCCACTGATATAAGAAAATTTTTTTAAATTGATTCGAAAAAGCAAATACATTATATCAAAAATGAAATACACCAGAGAACACAAAGCAAATAGAGAATTAACATAAAAATAAGTCTCGCTTCTAGGAATGCAGAATAATTACTCATTTAATTTACCTTCCTCGGAAGGCGGCGGTAAAGTCGCCATTATTCTCTCCACCTGGTTTATCGTCGAAGAACCCGGAAATAGTGGTTTTCCTAAAAGCATTTCTCCAAGAATGCATCCCAGCGACCACATGTCAATGCCTTTGGTGTACCTAAAAAAAAAAAACACCTGTCATTCCAGAGTAACCTCTCAAATTAAGGTGATGTGAAAGTGGCATCGAAGAAGTTTTGTTTATAAAACTTTTCTCCCACCTCGGTTTACCGAATAGTTTGAAACTTTACAACGTGAATAGGGAGACCATAAGGAAGGTCCTGAAACTCATGAAACTTCAATTCTTTTCAAATTTGTTTATAAGGTATTTTCAAAATAGCTTATAAAAAATGAAATTTCGCGAGCTCCAGGACCTACCTTAGGGTCTCCATATTCACGTTTTAAAGTGTGAATCGATTATCTGCAAACACCCATTTTGTAGAAAAGCTTTATGAACGATTGAGCTTTCGGATCCCACTTCCACATCCCCTTAAACCCGCAATATAATTAAATCGGTGACTTCCGTCATGAAAGGTTTGAAAGTACCTTTTCGAGGCGATCAATATTTCGGGCGCTCGGTACCATCTAGTCGCAACGTAGTCCGTCAATGTAGGATCACTTCCGGATTCGCCATCGCCGTCCCCGATTTGAGTTACGGACCTAGCCAGTCCGAAATCGGCGATTTTACAGTGGCACTGAGCATTCAATAGGATGTTCGACGGCTGAGGAAATGCAAAAATCCGTCAGCAAACGAGGACTAGCGAACCCCAAGCTGGGCAAAAAAGTTATTCGTAAGCAATAAACAAAAGTGTCCTCGAACGTGAACTACGAGGCATTAAATTGTAAAGGTGTAAAAATGAAAGCCTCTATTTTAGGCGATAAAACTCGCGTTACGACGTCCGTACTACGAGCTATGTAAAAAAAGAGTTATTGGTAGACAATAAACAAAAATGTCATCGAACGGAATATTACGTTGTAAACGTGTAAGAATAAAAGCCTCTATTTCTGATAGTAACCCTCGTGTTACGAGGCCTGTACTGCAAACGGAGCAGAAAAGTGATTCGTAGAAAACAAATAAGAATGGCCTTAAACGTCAAGCACTGAGCTATACATTGTACAGGTGTAAAAATAAGAGCTTCTATTTTTCGTAGTAACAACGAAATCAACATTTTCTTACGGTCCGATTTTTACGGATACCGATGAAATGATTGTCATACCTTTATAATTATGATATAAAATAGTGTAGTCGTTAAGAGCGTTAGGACAAATATTATTCTTCGCCTTTATTCATTAAAAAAAGAAAACATGGATGCTTTCATAAGTTCCCTTCGTATGACCGCGCATGACTGCGTTTTTACATATAAATGGCCAGTGACCAAGAAAGTCTCCGTTTTGCATATAATTGGGCCCTAGTTTCGCGTTAATAGTATAATGGTACTATTCTACCGGAGAATACCTCAAAGCGACCCGTAATAGACAGCAACTAGATTTTATTAATATCCTCCAAAGGGTAATTGAAAGTTCAAAAACTTAATCATAAATATCATGAGATTGCATATCTGCAAACTTCTTGGATCTACCACCTCAGTTGTTCAGAAACTACAGTAAGACTACGTTTAATGAGTTTACATTATCACTACTTTCCAAAGCATTGATAACACTAAATTTGCAATACCACCACAGCTATTAAAAATAACCGCGATTAATCCCGACGGTGTTGTAATAATTTAGGAAACTCTTCTTTGTATTAATCTTAATCAGCTGTGCAAAGATTACCTTCAAGTCTCTGTGAATCACGTTTCCAGAATGGATGTATTTAATCGCTTTGAAGAGCTGGTACATGATGAAGACCTTGTGAATGTCCCTCAATATATTCCCTCGTTTTATAACGTTATGTAGGTCAGTCTCTGCAAGTCACAAGTTCCACATTAAATAATCAATCGTAGAAGTAACTTCTTTTACATAAATAGACATTTATTCGTATCACCCCTTCCTTACCCATGAACTCAAATACCAAGTAAATGTCACGATCGTTGTTCGCCTTGTGCAATCCTATCAGCTGAATGATATTTTCGTGATTGGCAAAGGACAAAAGGAACATGATCTCGCGAAACGTCCGCTGGGCATCGGTTTGGTTTCTAAAGGCATCGAAGATCTTTTTCACCGCCACGGTTTCTTTCGACCTGTTATCAATGGCTTTCCATACGATGCCATATGCCTGCCAAAAAATATTCCAACGTGTAATGCAGACCTACCTAACGTTATCAATTATTTCCTGACATGTTTAACGGCGCAACAACTCTTCTGGTATGAATTACTTTCCTTCTTCTATCTTCAATAACAATGTGACGTCTACGCAAAATATGTGTACCATTTAAAAAAGTATTATATAGCCAGGATGAGTTACTTTTATCATATTTTAGCCTGTAGTCAAACAGGGGTATCTGTATTCCCATATAAAATAAGCATATTTTCAAATTTTTCATATAATGAGCCACTAACAATGAAAAAGATTACGACGAAAGGCATCAAGGTCAGTGATTTCCATGCAATTTTTTAGTCGAAATTAAAGGATACGTCTTCAGTCGTTTCATTTTATAGACTGATAGATTTCAGGTTTTGTACCATTACATTTTAATTCAGTCTCTGACACGTCACGTGAGCATTAAATTGCAGTTATCAACCCTTTTTGGCTCAAGGATAGAACATATTCTTAATATACAAGATTTCGAATTAAATAAACGTGATCAATATATTTTATGTCACTGATGCAGCATCGCTTAATTATATGTTGTCTTAAGAACCGAAATAGTGTTTTTCTTTCAACAACATTTTGTACCCACACTTACAATAAACATATATTTAAACGGTCTCTTAGAATTAGAACGGAATATTATTGTCATTCGAATATTAACACGAAACGACGTTTAAAAAAGTGAGACCCTCGCGAATATTCCTAGAATTCTAAACCACTTAAAAGGGACATTCAAAGCAACCCCATCCAACTATAACTAAAACTTTCATTACAATTAAGCTGAAAAAAATGTTTCACGTTCGCTTTAATAAAACAAACTGGAATTGTAAATAGTTTCAGGCTTACTGACTTTAACCTGTGATCGACTTTTTAATCTACGAAAGCTTCAAAATATTCGCAAAAACTAGCCACTTTCATAATTCATAAATACCTAGCCCTACTCGGAATGTAGGACAACCTAGGATTGAAATTATCGAATTAAATGAATTTATCCAAAAGCCACATCAGCGCAACCCCAAAAGCGACGCGCCGGCCTAATACAGGTAACCCTCCTATAACAAGGTATATAGGTTCCTAGAAAATGTCGTGTTGGGTGAAACCGTCTTATATGAAACTCAAAGCCAGGACAAAAAGGGGGGATTACGTTCCGAACACCTATTAAAAACAAATTCTTTTCTTTCATTCCATATAGCCAACTTAATTTATATTAAAAATAAAAACGTACGTACAACCCAAAACGAAAAAAGAAAAAAAAGAAAAATTATTTTCATGTAAAGGCACTATAGTTTATTATTCCTTCTCGTCATTATTTTAAGGTAATTTAGTTTTTAAATATGTTAAACAAAAATCATGTCGTCCAGTGCAGTAGGAGTAGAGTGTTGTACAAAGGTTTTCACAATTTTCTTATCGTGTTAGAGCGAAACAGTGTTATAGGGTGCAGTGCTATACAAGGGTTCCCGCAATTTATCCTAGCGTGTTAGAGGGAAACCGTGTTGTAGGAGGGTTACCTGTACGACAAAAATTCGAGCGATTACTTGAGATAAAAGTGTGATCCAAAAGGTGGATTTACCCCTTTCCCGAGGCGTCGCACGATCTCGTACTGCTTGGTGACATGGTTGTCGATCTCGGAGACTTTTTCGGTGTTGCTTTTTCCTGACATCCTCGGAAGGTCTGAGCCTGGCCGTCGGAGCGCGCCGGCCCGGCGTGTCGTATAAATGTCGAAAAGCGCACCAGAAATTTTTCAAGAGGAAACGCCGCTCGCTCGGGACGGATTCACATTTTCACGCATCGAGAAGGCAGATCCAGTCGGATGTAGGTTCTTTCCGTCCAATCTTTGACACATCAATGTGGTTGTGTTTATGGAATACACACCGGTTGCCGAGGTGACCGGTACCGCGTTCAGTGCCACCTACCACGTGACCGCCGAACAGGTGACACCCAGGTGGGGAATGTCAGCTGCGGCTCCCGGTATAGAACTACAATTCTCCGATGTGATTATCGATATGACATGCATTGGTGAGCAAACGAAAGTAGGGGGAAAGGTTGGCCTTAGTTGAGGAAAACGGGCGCTTACGTGGTGCAGTCCCTACCCACTGAACTCCAAACCTAACAGTTACGTAACTTAAAACTAACAAATAACATAATGTTTGTTACAATGTAATAACCTAACAGTTACGTAACATAGAGCTAACTAGGTACATGACATTAGCTACAATGCAGTAACTTAACAGTCATGTAACATGGAGGTAACAGGTTACATAACATTTGTTACTATCATATCTATATAAATGTAGCATAACTTTGTTACTTTCATCTTACATTATGTTACTGTCCTGATATTACTGTGTATATGCAGCACATATTTGTAACAAAACAGAACTACATTGGTGCTGTCATCTATTTTATTACATCATCGTCATCGTCATTGTCATAATTCAGCGTCAAATGTCATAAGATTAATATATGTCATATTTTGTTTACTACTCGTATGACAAAATGTGACTTTAATTCATACGCGCATATACATTATCAGTCATTGTTTGCTAGTCGAATGAAATCCTAATTGTCTTTAAGTAAAATCAGATAGTTTATCATTACATAATTTCATTGAAAGTCTGATTTGTCATTTAATATCTAACTATTGTCGAGTACCAAAAAATAATTAAAAATAAAAAATTATATAATTTTGGATAAAATTGCGTGATCTTTTTTATTAAATGTATGAAAAATTAATACTATTTTAAGGTAACTGAAATTGTAACATTAATATAACATGTTACTTTACTGAGTGGGAAATAACAACTAACATCTAACTTCCATGTTACTTTTATGCCACATAACATGTTAGTTTCGAAAACGTAACATTTGCCCAACAGTTATATAACAGTGTTCACTGGATAGATATAACATTTCTTTATTAACTTACACGTCTACATGTACGTATGTATGTATATACATACCATGGACATTGAATGTATGCAATGTAGAACTGCTTAGTGACAAACGTCATATATATAAAACGTGAAAATATTTATTAAACTTTTCTCCAAACTGTGTGCACCTAATCATCTTTAAGTTCAGCATGTGATTATGGAGGCCCTAAGGAATAACGGGGTGCTCGTGAAATGTCTTCTTCAATAAAAAGATTGTTTTAGTTATCACAGACTAGAACCAAAAAAAAAAAATTTTTTAACTGAAATTTTATGAGCACCGCGTTCTGCCTTAGGACCTCCACAATCGCGTATTGAAGTTTCAAATGATTCGGCGCACCTGGTTGGGAGAAAAGCTTTATCAATATTTTGACGTTTTATATATAGAATGACCCTTTCATATCATCTTAATAATCTCATAATTCATCATTTGAATTGTAGCGATGATTCCGGAGTTAACACTTCGTGTAACGGGGGTATACAGGGAATATATCTTGAAGAATGTCTAGAACTATGATCGTTGCATTTGGAGTATACAAGAGAAATTGTGTAGTTATCGATATGACATGCTTATATACATATATAGAGGGAAAGAAAGCAGACGAAATGAATGTTGTCAATCCATCACACGTGTTGGTAAGTATACAATGGTGAAGAAAATAGGTAACCCTGGTTGAGAAAAAATGGCTTTTAAGCGATAGAAGGATGCAACAATGATGTATTCATGTGTACATACACCCGCGCCGCGAAACTTTAATGTAAAGATTATTGGCTGTGAACTTTATCGTTTTTATATTTCGAATTCTGGGGGTATTTACGGACTTCTTAACAATTTCTGCATAACGAGTCATATGTCTTGAACTCCGTGGACTCCGATTAGATTCGCAACGTACAAATGTAATTCACTGATGCAGTTATCGATATGACATACGTGAGCGTATGGAGGTAGGGAGAGAAGATTTGCCCGCGTTGGAGGAAATGAGCAATTACCTTACCCATCTCTATGGGTCAGACAGGAGTCCCACTGAGTGCGTTCTTCGTGGCGCGACGCTCTGAAAAGTTTTTCTCAGAAAAAGTTTCAATCAACATTCCCTCTCGGCGGAAGTGATGCACGGGATTATGCGTAATACTAATTAATTTTTCATCGACAATGTGTTAACGCGCCGCGTTTAATGGGATCCTGACTTTTTTCAGCCCATTAGTACCTCAGCCTTATTTTTTATGCATTCATTTTATGCATTAAAATCAGAGTAAAATGCATCGCGCAGATGATGCCTTTGGATGATCTCTAGCAAGAAATACGCTATTAAACATTGTTAAACAAGTAAAGATTGTATCGTACACCATTTTATCATATCTCTTTTTATTGAGTTTATTACTGAAAATGATTGGTAAATATGAAACGCTCATAATGTCTACTTTTAATTCTACCGATTTCAAAACTTCTATAAAAACCAGTTATAAAGGTAAGTTTATCTCACATCCGTGAAATAGATCCTTAAAAGTTCATTTCAGTGGGATACACTTTCCTGTCAATAGAAAAGTGCACTCAGCATGTCATAAACATTTTATTTTTATTACTTAGTGTCACATCAAAAAATATTTAATCACTCTCGTAAAAAAAGAAATAATCACAATGCTTTAATACATCACACATTAAGTAATAAACTTGCAAAACAACAAAATTCTTTAAATCATATATTGAAGATACTGAAGATATCAGTACTACTTATAGCGATTTTGAACGGCTTTGAATAGTAATACATTACAAAACACACGCTGTACAGCATACGTTTCACAAAGTCTAAGATTAAAAAATGCGTTTTAATGGTCGCAAAATAAGAAAAAATGCAACAATTCTTTCAAACAGAAAAAATGAAAATAGATGTAACTAAGGCATAATAACCTACAAATTAGATGTGGAATCAAGATATTGGAGCCTTATTAAACTCGGAATTACAAAGTGCTGATAAGAACTTCCAGCATTCGAATTAAAAATAAAGTTGTCTCTCTTGGATCGTTAAGTTTCTCTGAGTGACGGTGTAATCACCTTGTTATACGAGATCCTTTCGGATTCATTATTGAATATAGATTAATATGTAAAGTATGCAATTATTCAATCAGATTATACCTTTTTCGATAGAGAAATAGCATGCAATATATATGTTTTTAATTGAAATGTCATTGTCCCATTTTTCCATCCACCAATTGACATGAGTCTTGACATTTACTTCTTGGGCTGCTGAATTATAATGGGACGAGAGGAATGAGCAGGCCGAGAATCGTGAGTTGGAATAGGCTTATCGTGAAAGTGTTGTATTGCTGCAGGCGGGAAGTCTGCATTTCCTCTTGCTACAACTCCACTGATCATCATAGTTTTAGGAGGACTGCTAAAACAAACCATTAAATATTAATCATTATACATATGCATTGAAGAAATATACGATGTGAAAATGATGTGAAGATGAAAATGATGATATACGATGTGAAGAAATATACGATGCGAAATATGCATTGACGAAATATACGATAAATTTAACATGAACAAATGAAACCATATGTGTCACAATAAATTTTTAAAATCAAATAATTTTTCTGACAAATTCATTTTTAATACATTTAGTATTACAATGAAACAAAAATATATTAAGAGATTCAATAGCATCTCATATACGTTCGTATTTAATTTTATCTTTTCTGAAAGCAGAAGTTGGACATAATTGACATTTTAAGTATCAAATATCTAAAATATATCTGACGATATTCAATGATTGAAAAATGTTTCACAAATATGATATGACAGTAACAGATATTAAAAACTGTAACAGATTTTGTAGTAAATAATCACATATAATTATCTATTTTTCATGGATTACAACTATATTGTGTCAAAAAGCTATACAGGTTAAAAACAACTAATTACAAAAACTTCATATGTCACTGCTACATAATCAAAATAACAATAAACATAAAATATATATTTGAAATTTTTTATAAAATCGCTGTTCCATATTCCGTCACAAAGTGTGACAATACTGTGATTGAAAATAAATATACGAAATGTAAAACTTAATTAAAATTATAAATGCGTAAATATTAATGGTATGAAAGAAAAACATCCATCACCTGGTAGAGGCCTTGGTACTCTCTTCGGAGTCTTTGCTAGGCTTTGTTTCACGTTCATCTTTTGGAGTCTTATGTTGGGTTATCCTCATTCCTCCAGCTTTAACTGAAATGTAGATACTTTCATTAGTTACTTTAAATGACCTTGAAGTCTCAAACGCCACTTCTTAAATTCAATGTTTTGTAGGAAATCGAATAAAAATCGTATCTCTAACCTGCTGGGGGATGGCCACCCTTTAGTTCACCATTTTCCGGACTCGACATCGGTAACAATACCAAGAAGTACGTTTATATGTTAAACAATATGTTTAGGCAGATCAAGCACGTACTGAATCGCTTGATGAGTTGCAAGACCGTTGCTCACGTAGTACCGTGGCCGCAAGCTGTTTTGTTATTGGTTGGAATTATACAAGGTTAAATCATACGTAACAGAAAGGAGTTGGGAGAGAAGATGTTTATTCGAAGATCCACGGAAAGATTACTCACGAATTGGTTTAGTAATCGCAGACTGAACTGCCCTCTGTGGAAAATTCAACCAACTTGTAAACACTTCTTTACTAAGTTTCCACCGTCAGTATTTATTTAATACCAGATTAGATAAATTCGACTTTAAGTTCGTCTCGACTGGTCTCGACCACCTGGTTTTATTTAATACCGAATTAACCAGGTGGTAAAAATGCACCCAAAGCCGGATTAATCCAATTCGAGTGTTGAATAAGGCTCCACAACCGAAGTTTAACTGGTTTAAAGCTAGTGTAAACCACTTAAACTCCAGTTAACTCAAGTTGTGGCACCGAACCTTAGTAATTGACCACGTTAAGTGTCACGCATAACGCGAAATATTAGGCCGATATTTCATTAGTGCTGTAGTTCTGCAGTATAATATATGAACCGCTCATTGAGTGCCGCTCGCAGAATGGTGAGAGAAAGAGAACTATGGTAATCGAGTATACGCTTTTCTGCGCTGGTCGCATGCCCAGTAAGTTCTTGACAGTTAATGACAGCAATATACATACATGTTGACATATGCAAATTACTTCCCTGCGCACTCCCGTTGCACAATAAGCGTAGACCCGATCGCCAACGTTCTCGTTCTCTCACCGTTCTGTCTAACCCATTCATAACCATATTCAAGTATATACAGGGAGTGAGCGGTCCATATATTATACGTCCATAGCTGTAGCCATAAGCGATGAAGCGACGAAGGGCAAATAATAAGTTTTGATTGGCTGAAATGAATACATGGAGACAAATCCCCCAACAGTGCCCCCCTTAATTCACATCACGTATGAAATTTGTAACATAAAATGCCTAGTAATTTACTGTAAAAGAAGTCCCTAAATTGCCTAGTAATTTACTGTAAAAGAACACTGTAAATTACCTAGTTTATTTTACTTAACTCTGGCCACCGCGTTGTATGTGACCAGAGCTGTGTGACATTCGACGCGCCTAGTGGAACTCTGGCCGTATCTTGAACAGCTGTTTTCACTTATCATCTGGTGCCAACTTCACGTCACTGGGCGTCGCTCCACTATACTCCGCAACGTTCGTTTTACCGTTGACGTTTCTTGGTTTTTATCTTAGAAATCGTTTTTAGTATTTCCTACTAATCGAGATATCGATATTCGACGTGGAGTCAAATACAAAAGTAACAAAGATATACAAGGATACCAAAGTAACAAGATACAAGGTTCTACAGAAATTAAAAATGGTGAGCACAGCCGGCACAAATATGCTCGGAGTACGAGAGAAATTTTTCCGCCAAACAATGCGTTCTGCTTGGATGCACGTGCTCCACTTGTCGCAATAAGAACTCATTATTTAAAGATTTCGGATAAAAGATTTAACTGACTAAGTTTCAACCGTTATACGGATATTAAATTAATTACAGCCATTTGAGACTGGATTTAAAATGAAAAATCTGTATTGAATCATTTAACTAGTAAAAGGAAAAGTTATATATGTAGAGTACTTTATGGTTCTGTCCATAATATTGTAAATGGAATTACAACAAAGTTATTTAAATTGAAATAAATTAAGTCATTCATTGAATTACTGTTAAGAAACTTGAATAATATAATCTGTATAATCATATTTACTTATGTGTTTATTTTTAGAGTAAATGATAACATTTTGCAATTTGTTATAATAGGTATTGTCCAAAAAAACCATATGTGAAACAATCATTTTTGTTCATAGAAAGTTATAAGGTTCAGCTGCATTTCTTTCATATACTTTAAATAATAAGAGGAACTTAAAAGCAGGTTTTTAAAAATGTAAATGGTGACTAACAATATTTTCTCCCATTTCATTCCTGTATTTCACACGAGATGACATTGTTTTGCAGTATATCATGATTTATATATCAATCTTAAAAGTATAATCATGGAAGAGTTTCATTGTTATTTTTGGACCATCACTTTAAATATGAAAAAAGTAAAAGAATTAATTGTTTCATTTTTAATTCTATCGATGTTGTAAGAAAATCTATGATAGAGATTCAATGCATAAATGGATTGAATTTAGAATACTAATTGTAAATAAATTAAAGTGAATGTAAAATACAAGTTTACTAAACATGTTTTTTGAATTTGAAGTAATTTTGTTGGTTTAATGAATTTGCGTTTAATGCAAATGTTGATACAAATGTGTTTCAGTCTGGAAAGACAATGTGTGACATTGAGGATGATGTCAAGGATGCATTGAGGGCCTTTCGATTCCGCAAAAGTCAAAAGAATGCTGCTTTAATACGTAAGGCATTCTATTACATGTGATATTATTTCTATCTGATTTATTAATATTGTTTTGGTATTTGGTTTTATAGTGAAAGTCGATCGAGAGAAACAAAAGATCTGTATAGATGAACAAATGGAGGTAATTGATGATTCTGTTTTATACTCAATTTAAAATTGGTAGTGTAGAGAAATGCATCTTTTATGAAGGTGGGTTAATATCCAACCTCTGTTTAGAAAAGATTTAAAAAAGAATCAAAATTACATGAATTAAAAATATCTATTATATCATAATAAATGATATTTTAATTATTCAAAATGAGTATATAATCTGCAAGAAATAATCCTGAGCCTTAGTTAAATGTAACTTTTTAACGTGTAAGACAATATTATATGTTTTTGTAATTTATGTTTTTTTATGTCTAATGAAACGCAACGAAATATTTTATTTCACTTGCTGCAATGCAACGTAATACAAATGCTTCTTGTTACATTTTCTCGTACATTATTCCTATTCTTATCAATTGCAAAAATGCTGCAGTAATATATCATAAAATCAACCAAAATCTTGATTAAGTAGAATTGAGTTTTAATTAGTCATAATTGAATCTAATTGTTTGATTATGGAAATGAACTCTGGGTAAGAATGTGTACTAATATAGATATCTGTATTATAGGATATTAAAATCGACGATTTACAAGAAATTATTCCTTGCCATCAACCCAGGTATATTGTTTATAGTTATAAAATGGAACATGCAGATGGAAGAATTTCGTACCCCATGTGTTTCATATTCTATACACCAAGGGACATACAAATGGAGTTACAGGTGATCTATGCTGGGATGAAACTCGCTCTACAGAGAGAAGCTGAGCTTACAAGAGTTTATGAAGTTCGTGAGCTAGAAGAGCTTACCGAGGATTGGCTGAAAGAAAAATTGAGCAGGTAGAAGCTAACTGTCTGTGCCTGTAATGCTGTCGTTCCATAGTATAATTTGTAGTATTTCTACAAATTATATATGATGTGATGGAGTTTATTCTAATAACACGAGAAATACGAACAAGAGAATTAGTAAGCCAGAGCTGTAAAGACTTTTAAGTACATTCAAGTGATTTTCTATTACTGTTTACACTCCTTGCGGCAGGAAATATAGGAAGTTGTTTGAAAGTGCATTACAAATACTCAAAGCTAGGAAGTAATCATTTTCTTTTCCATCATTTAAATATTCATTTTAATTCAAATTCTTTAAATAGAATCTCAAAATGAAAAATGTTCGATCAAGTGACAATGGAAACATGTCTTATATACATTTTTTGATAGTTGTAAATTCAACGGCTTAGAATAAATATTTCCAGTAGGTATAGATACTGTTTTTCGATTTATACATAGACATATCCCGCTACAGCAAAAGGCCTAGTTTACAAGAATATACGAAACCGCAAAATGTGACCAATAATTGGTTTAATTAAAAATAGCGCGAGTACGATCCGCGTAAAATTATTGCTCAGGCTTGCAACACTGCCCGTCCGTGAGAAATTATACAGAATATGTATTCTGTGATATAAGGTCATTTGAACAAATTATATGATGTACGAGTGAGAAATTCGTAAACGGATTTATGCAGATTATATCTCTTCTATGCATTTATAAAAGTAAGAGAATATCTGAGATTTCGTTTTATCAAGGTGTCGAAAATATTAAAAATAATACCTTAGTATATGGATATATGTTCATGTTACTCTGTAACTATTTTTACACTTATTCAATTTTGTTTTTATTGATATTTGGCATCAAAAATTAAAAATGTTAGGTCTTTAATTTAAGTTATTTATAGGAGTAGCACTATATTTTTCATTTTCCTGATACAATTTTAAGAAGCAGTTATAAGTACGATCTTGAAAGTGTAAAGGTTCATGAAGGTAAACTTTATTAAACTCTTTAGTTTCTTTTTCCGCTTCTTTTTGTTTTTCATTTTTCCACTTCTTGCATTTCTATTTCCAGTAAAAAACGATAACACAGCTCCTCCTCCCCGAGTTGTGAAATTTATCCTCTATAGAGCAGTACTTTGATAAGAAAGGCTGAATTCAAGGAAGTTTACGGAATTCTTGAACTTGTAAAGCTGATCATAGTTGTACATTAAGAAAATGAATCTAGGCTGATTTCTAGAAAAATTATTATACAAGCATATTGATAATACCTTTTTACGCTTTTATACAATTAAGATAACGTTGAACATTGTGAGATAACGACAAAAGAAACCCGGGCAAGCGATTCTTAAGTTGATAACAACAAAAAACGACAACATTAATATTAATAGTATATATTCATATAAACAGATCATAGCTTTATCGGGCATGGCAACTCGTACTATTCTTTAGGTTTTGAGATAAGAATGACTTTGTTCCTTAAATTTCTTTTAATCTCACAGTTTTTCTAAATCGTTGCAATTTTGAGATTACAAATATACATTTAGATATATCCACAAATAACAATACAGATTGTCTGCATAATCTTGCTATTTCATTTAAAGAAATAACGAATCCATACATGTTAGAATCTGATGCACAGATATGGAAGAAAAGTACACGATCGACACTAATATCTCCAGTATTTGAAACCCCAGAGATTATATCTTGAATTACTGATAATAATCGTAAGAAAAAGAGATAGTTAAGGACCTTACACTCTTTACTGAGAATCGGCAGATTTGTGTTCAAGACAATGTAGATCATAAATAATAGACATTTGCCTTTTAAATAAGCTTTGCATTGCACGAGATTTTTTATGGATAGTGCAATGTCCGAAAGTAAATAAGTAGAGATGTATATGTATACTCAATTTTTTTAGGAATAATTTAACAGTAATTATGCACAATTGTCAATCACAACATGAACATGTTTCATACGTCGAATTATTAGCAAGGAAGATTGGGAAACCATAGTAGCTAATGTACTGCACGTCCGTAAATGTAGGAAATTGCACGAGGTTTTGCTCAAGTGTATCGAAAGTTTCATAACTCGCCAGTTTAATCGATTTTTTACGATTTTTATATATATTTACCTCGAAGTATTGTGATTTGCATGTATCATATTGATATTAAATTCTAATTGAGAGTCTATATACAAACAGCAGCTTTATAATTTTTGTATACATTTTCTATAAAACAGTTGTAAATTCGATGATTCAAAAAGTAATTACAGTAGTTATAAATACATTTACTGTATTTAGGTACATACATATAAGTTATTAATAAGTTATATCTTAATCCATTAAATATACAGCATATTTGTACATACATTAGTTGTCTGTCATCAAATCAAATGAACGTTGGAGCCATTTATCTGTTATATACATTCAAATCTAGTCGAATAAAAGAAAATGGAGATGCAAAATATTTTCGCGGCGAAAAATAAACAGAGTGAATAATAATATCCTCTTGTACTATAGTTTTTATTGTATGAAAATACGAAATGTACAGTTTTCATAGCGTTGCAACGACTAAAGTCGAGTTATTTTAAAATCTACACGTGTTGACTAGGGTTAAAACTTAAAACGCACACGTTCGAAGATACGAGTTAGTATTCACAAGTCGGCAGAGTAGTATAAATTAAATTAATAATTGATTTGCTGTTTACTAAAAAGTTACATGAAATGTATCAAGTAATATTGACTGGCAGATAGTTCAATATCTGTTTATTAAACACAGTATGATAACTCGTATCCTGGTGGAATTCTTTGAAAATGTATTGAATTATAAGAAAGGTATGTTTTATTACTAAAATTTGTGTTTGCAATTTCATTGAATTGTTAAATATTCAATTCTATCATGTACACGTATTATTTCATTCGATATTGGTATTATGAAACTATCGCTTGTGTTTTTCTCACTTGACTTATGTCAGATATTACTGGGATTTACCGATATCACGAAAAATACTGATACCCTGCATTCAAGTTAATTTAAATTTCGAGGGTTCAAATATTGTAAACGAATTTTCAACTTAAGGAGACATGAAACATTAAACTATTTAGAAAACAAAAATTTCTATTATATTTATGTTTACACGATTCATCGCTTATGACGTTTATACAGAAATGGTCACTGCAGACAGTGACATTGACCACTGTTCATCTGCATCAATAATGACCCATTTAATCCATCATAAGGATTAAATTGTTTATGGTTGACAGTCATTATACATAGGAGCTACATTCCTTTAATGGATCAAGGAAGTGATCATTCTGCAACAAAAAAAATGAATTCAACACGTTACAGCTGAAAAATATTTGACCAATTTCTAAATAATGTGATTCATTAGAGATTCTTTATGATATATAATAAATAAAAGATATAGAATTTTTTAAATAAATGGACCTTTACGGAAACCATTTGTTGTCCAAGTAATTCATTATTACTGTACAAAGAACATAAATGAATATTTTATTCACAAGTGAAACTACTATTTAATTATCTTTCTAAAATGGAATGAAATGAAAATAAATAATGAAAAATTGAAATAATGTTAACTTGTCAGTCACTGGTAACGTTAATTATGTGTGAGAACGGTAAACCCTTTATTATAATAAGATATTCATATCATGAATTAATAAAATGATTGACTGAATAAAATAAAACTTACCCATAGAGGTAATAGAAGAATGAAAGGAGATAAAATGCCAACTTAACCCATCCTTCTCGATAACACTTTGTTAAATCATTGGCATTCATTATACTGGTAGGGTCATATAAACCAGCACTCGTCATCACTGGCCTGTTCAAATATCTGTTTATATGGTATGCAATAAGAGGGATGTTGAGGCATAAAGATAACCATTCTCCACTAATTAGGAACAGTATGTTAAAAAAGATGTGTAACCCATACTCTGGAAGAACTAACTGAAACATAAATGTCACATTGTACTTTCTTTATAGTACACCAATAAGGTCCACATCCTAAACATGAATTTTCACTTAAGGGATTAAATAAATTAAGATAATGCACATACAAAATACTTCTGTTAATTAACAATTAATAAATCATATTAATGTTATTTAATGACTGTTAAGGCATGGTATGTCCAATGAAATTCAAGGCAGCAGTAAATGGCACGTACTCTGACAATCTACGCCAATTAAATCTATCGACAAAAATGAATTATACTTACTGGGTTTAAACTATTACATTGATCGATAGGATCTTTGTATTCTGTCTTCAATTCATCGAAGCAAATTATCTGAAAACAATACACCAATAAAATGATTTTAGGTTAAATTAGAATGAAAAATAGAATTCGGATATACAAAATATAAACATTGCGCTACGTAAACATGTTATAAAAAATGACGAATTAATAAAACTTTGGTGTCACGATCTACGAGGTTATGTGACTTCGTAGGGGGTTTCAGTAAATTGGAACTGGCTATTGCAACTTGAGTGAGGATAAAAATTGCTCAAGTAAATTTAACATACTTGAAAAATTGAGAAAAATATCAAAAATGCGTCGATTATTAATGCTGCTATATAAGAAAATGCAGCCAGACTAAACGCCATATTGAACGGAGCTATTTTTCCGACTGCGCATGCGTGTACCTGTCTTGGGTTACGACTTGCATTTTAATTCAAAATTGATATTCGTTTCTTCATGTATATTCATGATTTCAAACATTCGAATGAGAAGTTTATATTCCTGAAATGAATTTTTATTTAATTAATTATTTGCATACGCTTGTATTCATTATTCGCATTGGTAATTACCGGGTCAATTTAGCCAGTAAAATGTATTAAAACATTTATCATCACTGAACGACAATATGTTAGATGATACCGAAATAGTATTTTACCGATTGCTTGTAACAAATTATAGTTATTTCAAATAAATGTGTACACTACTTTATATACATTTTAGCACTTAAATATCTATGTATTATATATACATAACATGTATAATGCTTTTTTAGTTATTGACAAAAAAAAATAATTTAGTAAACTAATTTGGTTTGATTCCGAATAAAATATCCATACATTTCTTAAAATCTTGTTTATTTACCATTTATTGTTGAAACATGTATATGAGTTATTTAAATCAGTTATATACTATAGTTTATTATAGCTTTGAGTATCTGTTAACAAGTATATTCTACAGCATTTTAAACATCTTTATAAATACTAGACTGTTGCTCGGTACATATGAAAAAACGCTGTTTTTTATACTCACTTTGATAAAACAGAATTTCAGAAGCGTGATCTATTTTGTGTGCGTAAGTTCTGAAATTAACAGAAAATATAGTTCTTAGATGAGCAGCTGTATACAATTTCGTGTCAATAAATATTATTGATGGCAAATGGTAAAATTTATGAAATTACATAGGATTTCCTTGGTTTTGACGTGACGCATCGGTGTAGTTATCATTTTGTTGAATCCTTAAAGCTGCTTTTTATTAAATATCATAAATAGACATTTTATAAATAATTTTCTACATTTTAAAATTCATAAAGCTTCTACTACAAGTTTCTACTTTTGTTCAAGTTATAATTAAAATAGCGTCAGTGCAAACTTATTATTAACCTTTGAACACGGAGCCATTTTGACATACTCGTATGAGCGAAATTCGTCTGACCGTGCAGGCAATATTGGACCAAACGTCGGACGCCTTTAGGCGCTCTTAGTAGCCAAAAGGTTAATACAGATTAGATCAATGGTTCCCACCGTTCTTGCTCATGAAGCCATGTTAGAATGTTGTATTCCCAAATTGAGAATCTTATGTTATAGATTTCTTTTTTAAACAATTTATATGCAAATATCTTTTTACGCAAACTACTATACATTAATTATACATTCTTTTATCATACTCCTGACTATGTACACATATTCGTTCATATACATTTATACATTACTCCATGCGTCATATTGTTCGAGTAATTCCTGGGCTTCCATACCCGTGTTCTTGATCGGACTCTGATCTAGTTAGTAACCCTTCATCATCTCTGGAATTCCACCTTGAATTGTGACTCCCTACTATGTGTCTCTTGGGATTGAATATTTGTTTAATATTGTTATAGCTAATATCAATGTCCCTGAAGGCGTTAAGAAGAAATATACCAGTGATGATCGTAAAGAATCCATACAATGAGCCTATAATGTCTTCAGCAGTCATATGTCGCCACTCTCGAAAGAGTATCACCGAAGCTATTATTACAAGTGTGGTAAAAAAGACATAATAGGTAGGAGTCACAATTCCAGTATTGAATAGGTCTAAGGATTTGTTTAAATAATTCATTTGAATCATGATGCAAACAATAATAGTGAATAGAAACGCCCATGTCAGCCAGTTGCCCATTTCATTGTTGACACCATAAAAAGTTTCTTTCAGAGCTAAACCAAGACCTTTGCAACTCATTACAGTTAACGAACCAATGCTGGAACAAAGAAGTATATAGACAACAATATACTGCTTTCCATAGAGCGGTCCAAAATGAAAAATTATAGATAAGCTACCGGTTATAATGAAAAAAACGTAACTAATAAATCCAGGATCTTTTAATTTTATCAATAGCTCCTTTAAGTTTTCTACTTCTTCTTCTTTTGGCGAATGTATTACAATCATAGTCGAACCTAAGATACACAGAAAACACCCAATCTGAAATAAATTTCATAAGATTATTGAGTAAATGAGAAAATGATGGATTACCTAAGTTTTGAAAATGTTGGGATTTCTTACTTTTCCAAGTAAATTCAATTTCTCGTTGAGGAATTTAGATGCTAAAATTGCCGCTACTAAGACACTTAATGCACCCAAAGGTGTAACTAAAGAAGCGGGAGCAAATGCATAAGCAGCAAAGTTTGCTGCTTCCCCAATTCCCACTAAAATATTATCATTTTTACACTCATTAATTAAACTTTACTAAGCTCCAGGAAATGTAAGTAAACTTACTGGATAATAAGCCAGCCCACCAAATCCATTGTCTTAAATAACCGAAACCACCAGCACCGGCACGAATTCCATACCGCTCTAATCTGATAAGTGCTTTTTTCTTAATAATAAAACTAGCTCCTGAAACAATGGTATAAATAATTACACGGAGCAGGTGTACACAAATGTTTGGAAGGAAAGATGAAATATAACTAAACTATTGCAAAATTAAAAAAGAGAAAGTAAATTACTTCCAAAATGTACCAGTTATGCTTTACCAAGTATGCTTTACGGGCATATAAATGTCATTCTCTTAGAGGTGTTTGAAAAGGAGTTTCACAATGCTAGTAATTTTAAATTATGTGCTATTGTCGAAGTAGTAATTTCTCGAGTGATTTGACATAAGTCTACCAAACGGACTGATACTAACCTATAAAACCGCTTGAGCTGATTGCTAACCCTAAACCGATGTAATAATTTTTCATGTTGTAAGGATTTGAGGTTTCCATTGTTGTATCCACTACGTCCATTGTCTTGAGTCTTGTTTTATCGTGCAAATCGTATGTCAAAACAAATATGAGTGTTTGTTTAAGGCATAGACAAGAAATATCTCCGTATTCATCTTTTGTCACGTAGGTTCTATCTTACATATGACGTCATTTTTGACCTGACAATGGGGGATTTGACAATATAATAACAAAGTTTCTTAAAATTGCAATACGTTATTTCATGCAGTCTTAAGAATCAGCGATTTCCCGATGAAACGATTTCGGTAGATTTCACTCTGTTCACGGGCAGGGTTCCGTGATCGCGTCCTGTGCTGTTCCCTGGTGGAGGATGTGGACGGCTAACGCACTTGCCCCCTGATACCCCCCCAATGGCGGCCCAATTCAGGGATCCTTCTCATCTCTGATCCCAACTCATCTCTGTGATAACAAACGTCGTTTAACATCTTTTAACATCACTTACCAACAAGTCCAGAAAGATCTGCGGCAATGAATCCATGATGACTTAAAAAAAAAATGGATCCTGTTGTGATCCACCTAAATCTGGAAAGGGGCACAAAAGAACAGGCAAAATAGAACATTAAAAAAATCCAGGAAGTCTGAGATTAGACAGCGAATAAGTTACTAAAAGTCAAGAATATTAATGGTAGATAGATCTCGTTAAATTGGCTGAACTGGTATTTTTCATATCACTAAGTAGGCAAAAATCCATTTCAATGTAGAATCGACAAAATATAATCGAAATGATCGTCTGCCGTCTCTTCTCCGTCAATCCTCACAAAGCGACACAGAAAAAAATAGCCAAACCCAACATATTAAATTAAAGCTTTTAAAGCCATTCTGCTTACTGAAAATCTGGGAGTGGGAGGTCCAATACGAAGTCTAGATATATATAGTCTAAGGTACGTACTGATTTCTACTTTATCAAATAAGCAATTTTGCAATTACAGTTCAGTTCAGGTGTCGTAGATGGCGAACATGTCGCCAGAATCTATCATTAGATGGACGGCGTGCATTTCGTTGATCTTGCTGGTTTTACAGTAATCAACAGTAACTTATTAATGGAATAATTAGTGATAATCTGCCAGTCTTTGTGGATATAAATGACTGTATTTAAAATCGTAATCCGTTCCGTGGGAAGATCGTACGAGGAGTTCAATAGCGTCACGTAACGCTGAATTAATTTCCGGCTGAGAATCGGAAAATCATTTTCACTACTGTTCAAGGAAGTCAAAATGACTGTCATGGATTTTTTCGGATGTGCTTTTCTGGCGTTTGGGCCACCCCTGGCGATGTTTACCTTCACTGTTGCTGCAGAGCCCATTAGGATTATTATACTAATAGCCAGTGCATTCTTCTGGCTCCTGTCGTTACTTTTCTCATCTGCGCTCTGGTATGCCGTTGTCCCTCTGCGGAATCACCTTGCGTTCGGCTTGGTGTATTCGGTGCTCTTCCAGGAAGCATTCAGGTAATACACAATAATCTGTTGCATTGCAATTCAAAGTAACCATTAACATGTATATAAGGGAGACAAAATGGCAGTTGTTTCAATAGTTTTATCTTATATGATAGGCAATATAATTAAGTGATAAGAAGCTTCGACAAAATTGATAATCGTTACTTTTCCATTTCATCTTACTTTAAGTATTACATTGATCGTATAGGATTACTCTGTTTTTGTAATTGCTAAATATAAACAATGATTATTTTCAGAAATTATACTCAAATATTCTTCTTGCAGATATTTACTATACTGGTTACTTCGGAAAGCCGAAAAAGGATTAGAAAAGGTTACCACAGTGCATGTTGCAGACAGCAGGCATACCTTTGCATATGTTTGTGGTATGGGATTTGGATTCATGAGCGGTGCTTTTGCGTTGGTAAATGTTCTCGCAGATGCAGTAGGACCAGGAACAATGGGTCTTAGGCAAGGAACGGAGTATTTCTTCATAATATCGGCAACTACCACATTATGTTTTATATTGCTTCATACATTTTGGGGAGTCGTGTTCTTTTCTGCCTTGGACCATAAAAAATGGATTCAGATAGCTTGGGTAGTTTGTTCGCACCTTTTTGTCTCTTGCATGACGTTACTCAATAGATATGAGGCTTATGCAGCCAGTATTCTGTCTGCATACATAGTTCTGGTACTTACTGGTGCAATGGCCTTCAATATCGCGGGGGGAAAAGCGAGAAATATAGCTCATTGTTTTATAAGGAAATGAAAATCGACTTAATACAATATAATGTAATGGCACTGAACAACACTATTTATATTCGCTGCTAGAAGGGTACAGTGAAATTGTAAGATCGCTGGTGTGGCTGTATCTTCACTTCGTGACTATATTAGTTAGAAGTGATCAATTTCAAGCAGTCAAGAAATTATAAAACGAAAATATTAAGCAGTTGGAAGTAAAGTCCAAAACCAGTGGCCTTTGTATTATCCAATGGTCAGGCTCACATTGATAAATCCTGAATGCCAGGAACAAGAAAAATAAGTTATGTTGGAGTTTCTTGTATTGATAATAATCACTATTGTTTGCATAAAACATGCACAATGTCAGCGTCTCTCCTGGTCATTTGATGAAATTCATTGAACATAATATTAACAATTTCTGATACCTTTAACCCTTCGCACTCAAGAGGTGACTCTCAGTCACCACTGGCAACTAGAATGGCAAAGTCCTTGAGTACAAAGGGTTAATAATAATTGCGTAAATAATATAGATTTTTCTAAGGCTCAACATAATTTTCAATATAGTGCAGTTAAAAACGAGTTCGTTATTGCAAAAACAGTTCTTTCTTAAATTTGTATCAAAAATGCGTCTTCTTTTGAAAAATATCTTAAATGTGTTTAATATTTTATTAATAGTAAGTACCTTATGATAACTACTAGGTATGTTTCGGGTATTCCACATTCTATACTCTTTAATCATTCGCGATGTTTCCACTTAAAATTTAAATTAAGCTCAAGCAAATGAAGTCTGTTTAATTATTACATGGAGCTTTTTTTAACTTGACATTTATAATCACAGCCTTTCAGTAGGCAGGATCATCATCGAGGAACCTTGTACTTAAATTTAGCTTAAACTTCAAGTGGAGGCAAAGTATCTTTGTAAGACCTAATTTCTTTAAAATGTTACCTTTAATTATTACCAGTTCTTTTTTGTAATCGCTAATCATGCTACTACAATATTAAAACTAATCTCTGATAAATTAAACAAACTCGTTCAAGCAGAGAGTTTGCTACGACAAAGCCAAATACATAGTTGGATAAGTGCGCAAAAAATTTCCTACCGAAAAATCCTAAATGTATTGTCGATAAACAATAAAAAATGTGTATAATACATATGGATGTACACAATGTAATAACTATTAAGCGTTATGATACATTTTCATAATGACATGGTTAGTCGCTAGACCTGCTACTTTTAAGCCTGAATTTAAATTAAACTCTGACCATCAGAACGAATCACAAAGTGGACACTAACTTCTAAGGAATTGTTAATTACTTTTTGTACCAGATGTCAAGATGCGTTGACGAATTTAGTCTAGATGATTACTAGATGAAATATAGATTTTGCAAATCATTTTGTGACTTACATATTAAAAACGAACTATCGTTAACCTTGATACAGGTAAAAAAATATATAATTGCATTTAAAAAGTAATAAAATAAAAGCCTTTTTTACGAAAATTACACTGTTCACTTAGATTAGTAAATTACTGCCGATTAAAAAACCTTAGTATGTAAACTATATTCTCTTTTCATTAATCGTGTAAAAATATAGCGCTTTTTGATTCTTTTTTATGTGCTGTGACAAAATGGTCTCTCCATGTTATATTCTATTTTGAAAAAAGAAAATAAATATATGCTGGCGCATCAATATAGTGTACTGCTTGTGCTCTCTGCTTTGTATGCACAAAAGAATGGCATTAAGATTTCTTTAATAGCCACCTTTGTTAACTGGTATTTCCTATTTACTCTGCTTACTTTTTATATCGGAGTGAATTTTGTCATGGAACTTGGCTCCATTGGAAATTAAGTTAGAGTTAAGTTACAGATGTAGATGAAGAAGTGAGGAATTAAAAGATTTTAATGTTGCCTTATGCAGATGATACGGAGCAAATAGCCAGGACTTAGTACACCGAGTGTCGCCCACTTGTTAAAATCTGTTTTTTACGAACATTAACATTTTTGTATCGGCGATATATCTTTAATGTAATTTATTGAAATTTCATTGTTCCCGAATATCTGTTTTTGTAAAGAACATATGCATAGAAAATGGTAATAATTTAAGCTTATGAATAATTACATCATCTTTTAATTATTGCAATCTATAGAGATGCAACATCTCATCAAATACCTTCTACAAACTTATAAATTACATCATTTAACTTGTAATGTACAGGCTAAGTCTGTGGCTTTCAGAGGTACCGGTTGTAATCGCTTCTTCAACTTATATCTCTCTAGTTTTAAATCGATTAGGTATTTCACGATAAACAGAGTTCGTATGTGTAAACAAAATAAACAATTTCAATAAATTCCTTGTCTGAATCGACACTCTGTGTAACAGCCAGACTTATGAGAGAAAACTTATTTATGAGCTCGTCAAAGAGGCCATTAGAAGTTCCATCTTGTTAAGGAAGTTCTTACCCTCCATCTTATCCCATCGAACCTCTTTGAAAGAACCACCTAAATTTTCCCATTTCCTTTCACGTACTAATTGTCCAGGGAAAAAGTCTTTCCTAGGAGAATGGGCGATGGCCACTTGTACTCCGGTCTGTGGTTCACATCTTACTGCTATCATTCTATGAACATGATAGGAACATAAAGTATTCATTACATTTTAGTCTATTTTGCAATGATGTATGTCATATGTATCAAATATTAGATATGAATAGTAGAGGTAGTTTCATTTTAAATTGTATAGTGGATCCGTTAATCATTCATATGGAAATAAAAGTAAAAAGTGATTATACAATTACCTGTCGCCGATAGGTGACGCCAAGATGCAGCTGCTTGCATTACCTAGTGGTTCCACTGCCCCCAGACCAAGATGCGAACTATTAGCTAGGAATTGCCAACCCATGCATTTGGCCAAGGCTTGAACTGCACTAATTTGGTGTTGATAAATCTGAAAAAATCGATAACAAATTAAATGCTTAAAATATAGTGTACTACATTTTCTCTTTCTCTTTCTCCCTCTATAAAAAAGCAGAATATATCCCTAGTATTAAATCAAACTTTGCTTTCTTTATACACCCCATGAGAAGATAAAATAGATGAATTAATAGAACACACCTGACAAAAAATCAGGTCCCTTAATTCCTGTGGTTCGTAGCTCATGTGCATAACCCGGCCATCTCGACAAACACATTTTAGCGATTTTTCTCCTACATGAACCACCAAAGATGTTCGGCATACTGTATCATAACCATGTGTTAATATATTAATCTTCACACAAGATTGCGTTGGCGAATTTAGAGCATTCCAGTGCGATACAATTAAGGGGTCTTTGACCTCTTTAGCTATAGTGTCCAACACATATTCAGTTCGCAATCTCATAAAGAAATGCTGTGCTTGTTGAATAATTTGCTCAAGTAATGTCTGACTTTTGGTCATTTCAATTAATTCATAACGATCTGCTGCAGTAGGACCAGCCAGACATCTCCGTTTACTTGGTCCAAGAGGACCAGATGAAGGATGTGGGAATGGATGATGAGTATTTTTATGATGCACTTCTCGTAACAGTTGATGCAAAGAATGTTCCAAAACATGATCGTGATCAGTTTTATGAGGCGGTGGAGCTGCAGGTTTTTTATCATTGCCTGTGCTATGGCACAAACCTATAATGAGTTGAATCCCTGGAAGTACCTGTTCGAAAAATATCACATTCATTTATTGTTGTGATGGCAATTACAAAAGTAGTATAATAATAGATGATATGTACCGTTGCCATTATTTGATTTCCAACAACCATATGAGGTATAGGTGCACGTAAGTGTACGGCTTCTCTTGCTAATTGACTAAATAATTCTTTACAAAATAAAACATTCTGAGCTGCCTCCAATTTCTGTTGCCAGTGCATATCTGTATTTGAGCTGTTTGCACTGCTATTTAATAAACTGATGTTTGCACTACATAAATCTTCTTGATCTGAAATACACAATCGGTGTAAGTTTTCAATATATTTTGCAAAGTATGACGAGTTACAAATACATTCTAATAAAAATACCTTTTTGACAAAGCACCTCAATATACGCAACACCTTGTAATTCACTGGGAATCGTTACTCGTAGTGCAGAGGACTTGGAATTTGAAGGTCCATGAGACTGGCCAGGTGTAGTAACATTGGGATTTGGAGAAGCTGGAGGACTACTGTTAGGTTTTTCTTCTTCTTCTGCTTTCGTAACTTCAAACATTCCAGTTTGTGTGTATTTTGATCCAGCTGTCATTAAAATTGAATTTCATTTTACTTACTAAACATTAAATTACAATAGAAGATATAAAAAAAATTTTTTTTTACCTGTGCGATAACTAAGATCTCCAATAATGGAATTTGATACCTTTTTAAGGCGCCAGTTTTGTCTAAGACGTAACAATTCAATATGAAAGTCAGGTGTTGAACGATTTCTAGCTAGTTCATTTTGACAATTTTTTAATCTGTCAGCTCCCATAATTAGAACTGACGCAGCTCCAGCCAATGCTTTTTTCCTAGCATACACTTGAACCATGGGTTTTACTTCGGCGGGCTCTTGTGGTACTGGATCTAAAACCATGTACCTTTTCTCTTTCGCTACAGCAAGAACATCAGCTAATACACAAACTTCTGTTAATGCATTTCTGAAAGGCAAAGTTGTTATTTTTAATATGGTTATAACAGTCATATTATCATCGAATAAAACATTCTTAATTGATACTAATTTGAATTGATTTCATAATTTCTAATGTGCCTAGCTATATATGAAATTGCAGAAAGGAATTTGTTTCTGACCTTAATTTATTTCTAACACTATCCCAAGGCCATAATGAAGACTGGAAGGATGCAGGATCTTTTGCTTCTTCCTCACTTTTTTCACCATTTTCAACTTGCTCGGTCTTAACGTCATCTCCATTTGCTTTACTAAAGTCAATCTTCTGAGCGATTTTGGCCAAGTTTTCGGACAAAGTAAGAGGTCTGTAGAACACAAAATGCTATAAATAGTTATTCGAAATATATCTGACATTCAGCAATTAATATAAGTTCACCGAAATGAATGTAGTATTCAAATTTCATTATTGGTATGCAATTTTTAGGTTAAAACGTAAACACTAGGTGTAACATTTGACTGATCACAATATCCGATAAAACCGATTAAGTTTTATAAAATATGTGGATATTACTTACGCTTGATAAATTTCCTGTCCATCATAAGTAATCTCCTGAATCTGATTCTCAATCGGCGCCTCTACGGAAATATTAACTGAATACGCCATTATTCTATCAAGTCTCAGCTGCCAGATTTCACAACAATCAACATATTGAGTACGCTATCGTTTGAAAACCTAAAAAGAATAACTACTAGAAAACAATTTGAGCGCATGCGTAAATAAGAAATGCGAGGACGCTAAAATAAAAAATGCACCTGTATGCACCTCTCAATTTGATTTACAGGTGAGATGGTTGGTTGGTTGGTTATTGCTTATGGCTCTAGAGTCTTCACCGCGCAGACTCTATGGATGCCAACTTAATTTCTAACGGGGCTAAGAGCCCTGTTCAGTTAATTTCTGGTTTCTTTTGGTGGTTGAGTTGGCAATTAAGTATCTTTACCGACTGTTACATTTCTATGTGTGCTTTTTGGCTGTTGCGTTTAAAATTTTGAAGATTTTTCCATTGCCTGTTTTGATAATTTGTCTTATATCCATTGTTATATCTGGAGCTAGTTTGCATAATTTGAGGATTACTTCATTTGTTTCTTCCTGTGTGTTTGAGCAGTGGAAGAATAGATGATTTGGATCTTGCGTGGGGCATTGACATTGCGAGGATGCTATTATATTTTTCCTAAATAAATGAGCGTTGGTACGGGTGTGATTAGACTTTAATCAATTAATAAAAATTATTGTGTCTCTTGTCAGTCTGGAATTGTGGAACCATGATATATGCGTTTCTTTTTTGTGGTCTTCGAAATACTTAACTCTTTTCACTCTGTCTAACTCCACTAATTGTTTCCAACCTTCTTTCTGCATTTCTTTTTTAAATTCTGGGTATGAGTGGTGATATCGTATTTTGTCATAATCTATTGTTGTTTTGTCTTTTGCTGTTTTCGCTAGAGTATCAGCCCTCTCATTGCTTGTGATACCTATGGGATTAGGGATTCACATTAATATGGTTTGGTTGGAAGTTTGTAGTTGTGCAATCGTTTCTTTGATTTCGTATATGCTGCTTTCGTAGTCCCCCTTTTTATCAATTCCCGTGAGTGTTTTAAATACACTTTGGGAGCCTGAAAGGATGATTGTCTTTGTGATTTCGTGAGTTTTAATGAAAGTTAGAGCTTCCGTATTTGCGCTCCCTGAGCTAAGATCAAAGTACAGGTGAATGTAGAACCTGAACGATGCAGGTGAAAACTATGTTCTAAGAAGTGAGTGCTCGCAACTTATATGTGACAAACATTCGTCAGTGACATCTAGCGCGCTCTCTGGGAACTTGAATACTTTTTACAGAGCTATCTAATGCATACACCCTGAAGTATGTCTTCTTCTTCCCACGCCACGCTGATACCCAAAGTTACAAACAAGTTCTTCCTCATGGATTTATAAGAAATTTGATGGAGCATAAAGGTAGATATTAAGCTACCTTTTCACTCGTTTCGCTTGCTGCTTGCCGCAAATAAATTAATTCTGCAATGGATGTCTGTAATGCGCGGATATTAGAAATGTGGGGTCATAGATACTTTATTTTTGAAGTAAAAGGATTTCGGAATGTTTCACCGAGGTGCATGTGCTATTTTGCCATCTCTGAATTTAATTATTCTTTGACGCACATTTTCCGTGTTACTCTGCTCACTTTAATTTTTAAAAATCTGGAAATTCAGTACTGCACAAACATCAAACTTCTAGGCAAATGAGTGTTGATAGCTTAGATGCGTATTCAGGACTTGATACAAGTCGCTGCGTTGGATAAGTGTACTGGATTTTAAAATTTTCGAGGCGATATTCTGATGTGGAGGCCACCTTTTGCTCTCAGGACGAGTTCCCCTGTAACGCATACATCCTCTCGACGTTCAGCCGCTTCGATTCTGTACTTTCGTAATATCCCAGAGATAATTGCCTTTTCTTCTAGTAACGCGAATTTCTGCCCTGCAAAGACATTTCCTTTTGTATATATGTTTCACGTTTCAAGTTTTCATTAGCACTCGTGTAGAACGAAGTATTGCAAACAAATGAGTACAGATTTAACATCACATTATTATATATCGATTTCATACCTATGCAATTTCTCGGACCGGCACTGAATGGTATATAAGCGTATGGATGTCGGCCGATACAATTTTCAACCAAAAACCGATCTGGATCGAATACTTCTGGTTTTGGGAAAACTTTTGGATCCCGATGTAGCATTGGCACAATTACCATCGCCGTCGTGCCTTCGGGAACAAGATATTTTCCTTGAAAATGAACATATGAGGCTAGAGTGATTTTCAGGAAATTCAGAGATCTCTCAATTCGATTAAGGATTCACCTATTTGTACATCTTTTGCGATTCTTCGTGCAAGAAAGGGAACGCTAGGGTACAATCTCAGAGACTCCTTGATACACCTCTCCAAATATTTCATCTCCTTCAAGTCTCGTAGAGTACAACGGCGGTCGTTATTATTACTTGGATAGCCGAAGATCGTTACCAATTCTTCCACAACTTTGTTCTGTTGGATTCATTTTCGATTAGATCTTGGTTTGGGTCGAGTAAATAATGAAAAGCCTCTTTACCTGATACTCTTGGTGACATCCCAAGAGAAAGAGTGTCCAACAGACTGCTGACGAGGTGGTGTCGTGGCCCTGTAATGTCATTTTGGTAAATAAAAATGCTTACTTAATGCCTATTTACTCTTTCCTTCCAGACGTAGCGTTAGTTATTTTAAAAACAGAATTTTCACGTTGTTTATAACCAACCTCAAACATGAATGTATCGACCTCCTCGCGTATGTCTTCATCCGAAAGAATGGATCCACCTTGGGATGCTTCGATTAGTAGATCCAGAAAGGCTAGTTTCTTCTTCCTTTCTGCTTTAACAATAAAATATTAGAATCCTATTATTAAAACAAATGAAAAAGAAAAAGTCATCGGAAAAACACCATACTAATTTTTCTAAATCACCTTCGACGACATTGTTGTTCTTACACTCATCCTTGATTTCCAGTCTTCTCTCGGATATCACCTGTTTCATAATAATTTTTAACATTAATATCCATTTCTTTATAAGAACGGGCGTTTCTTCTAACGTATTCCTGTGATAATTATGTATTTAAAAGATATTCAAGAACCTTTTTAGAAAAGCCATGCAAAATTCTAATGCACTCCTGGTGTTTCCGATACAGAGGGGACAGTCGAAACAGAAGATCTGGTTGGTACCACAGAGTCGTCTGTCTGGTTTGTATGATCCGTCCAATGCTGAAAATATTTCTACATTTGTCTGAGAATGTTCCCTTTTAGGTTCGAAATATTCTAAACATTATTAAATGTTTTCCAGAGAATAAATCGACTTACTCGTACACGGCGCGAACGTAAATGCTATCGCAATCGTTTTGCGCGAACACCTGACGACCCATAGCAGTTTCTAAAGGCAATCTGAAAGTTAGCTTGTAAAATAAAGGTACAGATTATCAGAAGCACCTTACCGCAAATAATGTCCAGCGTGCATAGCGTCACGAATGGGAATATATTGAAAGACTCTTTTCCCAATTTAGTCGACATTTTGTCCACTAAAATCTCGGTCTGTTCTCCGAAAATTTCGACAAAGTCTTCCAGAATTTTGAAGTGAAAAGTTGGCGTAAGGATCTTCCTTCTAGTGTACCACTTGTTACCTGTACCATTTTTAACCGGTCATATTAACGTTATAACTTTTACGGGGAATCCACTAATTACTTGTAGATTTGATAATTAATTATATCCTCGGGATAATATATTTCAAAATGTATTTGAAAGCATTACAATATGTCAAAATAGATCAGAATTTTTTAAATTAAAAGTTGAGTTAGATCGCAGATCAATTTTTAAGGTCTTGGAGATATCTGAGTGATTTTGATTAAATGTAAAGATATAAACGTATACCGTAGCCAGTAAGTAATCCTGAGCCGAGCCAAGGTCGGAGGTAACGATAGTCCGAGCTTTTATTAATATGTTGATTACTTCCAAGTATCGGTTCCACGGTGGAAGCTTTACTAACGAAGACATAAGGCCTTTGGCCCAGCCAAGCTTTATTAATTCCATCTCGATGTCCCCATAACAATCGCATGGCCGTTAATCGTCGAAATAGTTCTGAAAAAACACGTCCAATCTCTAAATTACATCTCTACATTTTTCCGGAAAGGCCCGAAGAATATATCGAACTATTTAAAGGCCTGACAATAGTATGATACAATTGCGTATACTATTTTTATCGATTTGACTTGTTTGAAATAGTACACAAAAAATCTTATCAACTTTTGGGAGTGAAGATTACCTGATAATATTTCGAAATGTTTATTCTAACTGCACTCACCGTCATGATCTACGTAGAGTTGAATAGTGTTCCCCAAGATGGGCAACGCAGGGGGTCCCGGTATTTTATCCAAATACTTCCTGAATTTTCGTTTCACTCTCCACCAGCGACAGACCCACCACCCGAATAAAATAATTAATAACCACAGACTCATTTTTTTTTACCCGCAATAATCCAAATTCATACGATATTAAGGGTGGCCGAGAGCATTGTTTTCACGGGCGGTTACCGAATTTCTTGACTACTACGATCAGGTTTCATAATGGAAGGACTTCGAAAAATACATTGAGAATGCCGTTCGCGATCGAGTCGGTACGTCGATTAATTTCGGAGCAATATTGCATCGACGGGTATTTCGCTTCGTCAGCCGGCGATTGTCCTACTTGTGTCGATTCTGCTACGGCATAGAGGAAAAGGCGCACAATTCTTCATTAATCAAGTTAAAGAACGTCTATAGAGGCTTTTAATGCTTTGGACATGGCCAGGGGATATTTGCAGTAGAGGAAAAACATGTTTACCAAATAATACCGCTGTATAATGACGCCGATTCTTTTATTTTATAAAGCAATTTTTACATAGGAATTCATCTGGTATTCTTTATAATTCTGTTATTATTTAAAGTGTGGCTGAAATAGATCGGTAGACTTTAGAAATACAATGTGACATTTTTTAACGTAACATTCTGATGACATCTAATTATTAATAAGAAGTATTTATTTTTCGTTTAAATGTAATATCAGGAATCGGTAAGGAAGGAATCAGCTGTTTTGAGGTGGCAGGAATTATCTCGGCGCCTCGTTGAACTGCAAAGAGACGGTACAGGGTCGGTACAGTGTAACGACGAACTTGGTAAGTCGGTAAGAATATTTATTGTAAGAATTTCAATGAAGGGAAATATATTTCCATTTGATTTCTCATTCAATTTATTGGATACATTTAAATTTATATTGAATTATAAATGCGTCCAATAGCTCTAGCTCTTAAGGCATGTGGTGATGTGAGAAGCTTGAAAGTAGATGAATCGTTAAAAATTATGAAAAATTATACATTTAGAAAATTATAATGTACTGATTAAGCTGTTACATATGTAATTTACTTTAGACAGGAGGAATGTATTGGAAATTCATCGTCCAGAGATATGGATTTAGAATACGAGAAATAGATTCAGATTCTCGAACGGTTTAAGATATCCCGAAGTTGCGAGTCGACTGTTTCATCGTTGCGTTCCGGGAAGCCCTTTACTTGGCTTAGTAACAAATCAAACATTTCAACGTATGTGCGATAAGATAAAATGAGTTCTTAACTCACCTGATATACCGAACGTGGCTCATTTTGCTCCAAAAGTTCACCTTCGTCTATCCGTTCGGAAACATGTCAGGTGAGTGTTGACCTCTGACCGTAAAAATCGCTAATAATCGGCATAAAGTGGATAAATTATTATGAATTCAAATAAGCGTGGCAACAAATCTTCGAGTGAAAAAAAAAATGTTATTTAAAAAACGATATGTTAATCAGCGCACGTTATTCGGCACGTTTTTCGATAGTCAAGGAACTCGGTAGAGTTTCGAGCGAAACACATTTTCAGGCATTTTACACGATAAAATGTTTTCGTCATACCCTAGATTTAAAAAAATTCATCTTACTACCCACAAACACATAAACTTATAAAGGATCTGCGTTGAATTTTAAACAGGTAGAATTGGATGCGAATGAAACGAAAAATTTCCTTATACATAAGTCGACTGAGAATCGAAATTATTGGCTTGCCATCCAGCGTTCAAATAAAAACGATAAAGTTGTCGCTTTAAGCATCAATACTTATCGCATGTTATTGACTTTTTTCCCGTGTCCAAGGTCTTTCTTTTCGGGTTATTTAATTCGCGAGTCCTTGAGGAATATCATTACTCCAGGAACGAATTTCGAAAGTAGCACTCTACATAAGTTTGAACATGGCCTTGTTTCGCCGTCAGAAGTAGTTGGTCTATTTTTATTTTGCAATCGAAAACCTCCATTTATGGATTAATTGGTACAAATATAACACGTCAAGGGAATAAACGCCGCGGACGTTAATTCACATTTTAAATTATGCGCGTTTAAAGGATCGCGTTAAAACGATTATTTCATCGCTCGTTGAAAGCTCGCGTTGCCGCCAGGATGACGAGAAAGCGACGAAAAGACATTACGAGGTGGCACATTTATTTCTGCCGCCTACATGTCGGAAAAAGAAGGACGAGGAAAGGGATGTGCATGAACCGGCGGTGCGAGCGAGAGGTGCCAGAGATCGGGAACTTGCCGCACCCATGTGCTCCTTTAAATGAGCGCAAAGAGCAGGCGGAGGGAAATATACGAGCATGGAGTCGTGGAAACTCAAACGATCCCGATCGGGTTACTAAATTTTGGTAAATGGACATTACGTGGCCGTACCCCGGACGCATTGAAACTGGATGTTCAATAGGAATAAATCACTAACTTTCCCCGCCTGGTTAACTTTCTCGTTCTCACTAGCACGTGTGGTACGACTCCCGATGATAAGTAATATGAGCACCATCAATCATTAGCGAATCGCGTGTTTAATGATTCCATTCGGATAAAAATACCCTTTCGGTACGTTCACCTCCGTTAAAGAATAATATTTCCTCCAGCCTCATTACCATACAAAAATGCACTTTGAATGCTCATTTCTTCCGACGCAGCGTAATTGCGATTTGTAGCGGTAAACTTTTTATCCATTTTTTACACCGTTTAATACAGTAAGCAGGGATTCGAAGGCAAATAAGGAAAAGTTCATGCCGATGAGAGAGTATTTGCGGAATATGGCAGATATGGTCGGTTTTCATTTCTCCCTTCCTCCGACCTTCGAATTCTCTCACGTAGGAGGAATATGTATCGCTTTTATGCACTAATCGCGCATTAATTCCAGGGCCACCTCGGGTCTCTCGATACGATTTATCACCGAATTATTACACACGTATGACAAAGGGGTGATTCAGTCATAATCGGAGCAACATTTTTGCATGTGTTCGTCTCGGCGGTTGATATGTCAACAATTATTCGCCCCTGCGAACTGCAGACGTTTATAGTCGAGCTCGACGACGAAGGACTTATAATTCAAAGCGATAATTAAGAATCATTAATTTCTATCATCACGTTATGTGTCATCAGAGTGGGGACATGTGGCGGTAAAATTTCCAATCGAGAGTCTTTTACCCGAAACTTACCGAATTTATTAAGAGTTTACGCGAGCGTGCATTGATACAACTGGGGTTCGGGTGGGAGCCATAACGGGAAGGTTCATAAAACTTATGCATTTCTTTCGTATGTAGGCTACACGTGGGTACCTCGCTCCACCGGACGTTCACTTCCGGAAACGGCTGTTAGCGGAGGTCGCGATGTCGATGGAAGCACCATTTACGTGGGACGAGCTTTTCACGAAGGAGACATGATCCCTGCCAAAGTGATACCCGACAAAGGAGTCGCCTATGTCTCCTGGAACGGAGAAGAACACGCGAAGCACGATTACGAGGTAGACATTGACGATGTATTTTTCATAATTCTTTTTTTTTTGTCAGCAAGGCTAAATCATTTTTTCCAGCCATTCTTTGACCCTCGCAACAGCCTTTCACCCTCGAAGTCGAAGTCGCGGATTAATAATCTAACGACGTTAACGTAACAGTAAAATTCTTTTTCATCATGAATAATCCGCCAGTCGATATAGGTTTATCTTGATAACGGGGATTTAATACCTAAAGTATATAGAGATAGTAGAAGGCTTTTACGTGAAACTTAGGCAACACGCTACAATTATACCCTGTTACGTTAATACTGCTCGCTAAATTCTACTTTCCGTCGGTTTCCCCGATTTTCAAATAGGAATATAAAGCTTTCAGTGGAATAGGAGACGGGCGTTTTGTTCATGCGCTTCGTTTAAGATTTATGTGCCGACAGAATTCATGACGATATTGTACTGTCAGGAGATTTTAAGACTTCTGGGAATGTTATGTTCCAGCGATCGATGTTTAGCGTTTCAAGAAAGCGCAATTCGCATGCCCAAGTAATCTAAATATTTAACTCGGAAATTTTGGATTCCTCGAGACATTCTTTCACTAATTATGACACGGGTTACGTGGACGTATTGATAAGTAAAGTATTAAATAAGTGATTGCGACAACCTCGATGTTGCTTCACCGACCACCGCGGGTCGACGTAAGTGTTCAGACCTTATACTTATGCTTTTCGTAACAACCGGTGGTAAAATTAGATCATCTGCTGATAAATGGATTCGAGGTTCAAAGAACTGTTTGCTCGACCATATCCGCGGATTATCTTATCGAAACAAGTAACAAAGTACACCGTGCACCGTGGGGTTTGCGAAGGTTACTTTAAACATATGCCGAAGAGATTCGTAGGTTTTTTCGATATCAGCGCTATATTGACGACTTTATTGCTAATTATCGTTCTTGTGTCGCAGGTACTCTGCAAAGGAGACTTTGTCTGGGAATTCTGCAGCAACGGCTCGGTTCCAGAGCATGCAGTGATCGCTGGTCAAACTTCGGATGGAGAACCTTTGTACGTCGGACGTGTTCTCCACAATGGCTCCCAAACCATCGGCAAGGTACTCGTTGCTAAGCCTGATAGACGTTTATAGACGACCAAGGAATCGATCGATTATACCACCTCGTCGAGTGGAAATCGCTTAAACGTTGCGTAATGTCAAGAGATTTTCTGTAAGGCATTAATCAGATTTTTCTTTGTCCAGGTCCAAGTAAGTCACGGATGCCTGTACATTCCCTTTGACGGCGAAGAATTGTCCTTCAAGGACTATGAGGTTCTCGTCCTCCATTAGCCATTTCGAGCGAAACTTCGTCCGGTAAATTCGTTTCCTACCAATGCTGCCTGTAAAGCTGGGTAATTAGAGCCCTCTAGATTTGTACCAGAACGGAGTGAACGCAACACGAACGGCAAATGAAACAGAAGGACGTCGTGTGGAATTACACCCGAGGAAAGATTTTCATACCGTGGGTTCAATCCTTCGGAAAAGCTTCACCTGGAGGATTTCAACTGGTCATGGTTTTGGCGCTGGATAATACACGAATAATACGAATTGATAGAATCGATAACGAACTAGATATCAGATTTCGCGATCCTTGTTCAATACACTTTCGTTGTAACAAGAGATGATTACGGTTGCGTAACGCGTTTATTACATCATCGAATACTTTGCCACTCACGAGTTGTTTTGTACATTCATATCATCCCTTCCATCTACGAGTCGACGCGACGTAAGAGTTAAATAAAAAGTCGTAAAGTATATGGACATCATGTTATTTTTTTGAACATGCTATATTCATGATCCTCTAGATACGCGAATAATGTTGCCGCTTATTGATATAAGAAAATAAAGTCGATTAAATTTCCTCCTTAGTTTAACAACTTTTAAACTTTGACAAATGATTTCCTTGTAATCGTTTCGATATCCATGAGCGATTTCCAGTTGACGTAATAGCTTCACCTTCTGGGTATAATTACGGGATAAGGTGGTAATTTGGTGCCGCCAGGTCCTATTGTTAGAAAACAATGATATCTGAATATTGTAAACATACGCGCACGACGAATGAAAGTCAAAGAAGATGTATAACCTTCACTCATGAGAACAAATCACATAACTTTTCCGCAGAAGCACCATTATCCTTTATTATCGCTCAAGGCAAATGTTATTAGGTATACTGCTTGGCTAAATCACCGCGAAGAGTACTAAAACTATGCGCGGAGCTCGCGTAATAAATACCGGGCACAAGAAAATTTTCACGAAATTTTTTCACGGGACACGTATGCTTTATCGATGACTCATTTCGCAAGTCAGAAGAGAAAGGAGTTTACACTCTTGCTTGCATCGAGAAGAGCCTTACGAGCGAATGCAAATTAAATACATTTTCACTGAAAATTGACGATCCTAAGCCGTAATTAAGCATAATAGTCGACGTATAATTAAGGCGGAGAAGTTTTCCCAATAAAATAGCCAGAGTATTAGGTATTTTCAAGCCATTTAGAAACATTCATTTACCGTGGCTAAATGTACCCTCCGGTACCTCCCTGAAAGTCAATAATATAGTACAATAATTATACGACTTCAAACAGATACTATTATCTAAATCCAGTTTGTACATGGTAAAGATCGAAACCTTCCAAACGATAAGAAATTCCTTGTAGTTGGACTTCGATTGTTCGAAAGTTTAAGTCAATGTTATTGATTCTTGAAATGTAGATGATTGTTGTGGGGTTAGGCAGAGTTTGAATTTTGAGAAAAGCTCGAGTCTTCGAGGTGCAGAGCTGTTTCGAAATCGACTTATGAGCAGCTGTATGTGATGTGGTAACGCAGTGGGATCTGGAAAACACTTAAGACAAGGAAACGGCTTGTGCAATCACTTTTTCAGGGAGTGAAAATGGTGAATGGTGAGTAAATAAGACCAAATCAAACGGCCTAGAAGCGATTCAGCTCGCTACGCGTACCTACTGAGGCCGTGGGTTAAATTGCTTCTACATTTTGTACAATAATTGGAGGAGTTTTTCTTCTGGGTGGATAATGACATCTTTCGTGGATTTGAAAGTGATGAAAACTATACGAATAAGCGGGGAGCGGGACAACTAGTATGTTCATGTACTCGTTCAAAATAGTAAGCGACCAGCTCTAATTTGCGCAAATTTTTGCGCTACCTGAAATTGCAGACTCCACGCAGCCTGCAACGCGAAATTATATGTACCAAAGTCATTGCTTACTTTAATTATTTAACATGACTTGATAGAGATAAAGGTCGACACTTGACGTGCCGATAATAATTTTATGAAATGTACTATTTCTTTAAATATTGAATACAAAGACAAAACTAATTGTTCAGTAACTGACGAAGTAATCATTGAAACTTGGAGGGCTGGTCTGGAAACTGTTAGATCTGGTCAACTTGACGATTATGTCATAATTGTATTTCTTTATAGGAATTTTGTAATCAGTAAGCGATGTAAATGTGAAAACTTGATATCGGCCCCTAGCGTAGAAAATAGCCGTGAGCAATTGATGCAAAGGTGGAGAAACAAAAAAATATGTGATATAAGTCATTTTTTAAGTGCATAGGACAGAGTCCTGTACATCATAGCAATTCACCTCCTTTTTTTTTCCGCGACACTTATTACAGGCAAAATTTTCCGTTGCCTAGCCTCAGTTCTCAAGCGAAACCTGTTTATCAGCCTCTATTTTTATCGGCATTAACCGTTGTTACGTTGGAGCTTTTTTGTTTCTAAAAACTACCACTATGACGAATCATGTCGGTAAAATATTACAAAATAGTACGCATTACATGCGCGCGCGAGAAAAACTTAATTCGCATACATAATACGAAATCAATCAACGTAGGTGGCTCCGTTAAATAACTAGTTGCCCTGAAAAAAGGCACTTACACGTAGGCAATCTCGGTGCTTAAAACGTGCACTGTGCAAATATGCAACATGCTCGGTACTCACGTGCAGAATTACGAAAGTGACTGGGCAAGATTCACTGCAGTACGCGAATCGTACACTTTCGTTACGTTGCGAAACACCCTCGGGACCTATGTAAGGTGCCGAGGAAAATTTTCTATTCTGTAAATAAGCACGTGCATAATTGCGGAGGCTCTTTCAAGAATTTCCCGAGTACCTAGGTATGCTCAAATTAATTAGGTGTATTATTTCTTAAGTCGTTTATTCGACAGCGAAGCGCGTTTACTTCGATTCGGAGGCTGCATGGCCGACAGTTGTCGACTAAGAGACTAGGAAAACAATTGTTTTCATCAGCGGTTAATTGCCGAGTGAATCGGACCGTGATAAAGGAGTCCGACCAGGAAACGAAGACGTGGATTTCCGATTTGCAGATTGTCAATTGACACGAGCGAGTACATTTCGGACAAGGAAATCGACTTAGTGCGAATCGGAGTCGCGATGCATTTCGAGGACGCGTTCCCTTTTGCCATTACGAAACTGCGGTTTCGATTTAAACACCTTGTCGGAAGTCATTTGAAATCGGTACGACCGTATAGCGTGTCGATGGAACATTTGACAAAGGATCGAACCAGGAACTCAGTCTATTCGGGAAAATTTCAGGCTTCATTATACACAATTCTCCTCAATTTCTAATCGCGACGCATTTCAAGAACTCGTTTCCTATCGACGTTAAAAAAGTGCAGTTTAGATTTAAGTACGTTCTTCGAAGTCATTTAAAATAGTTTCGATCGAATCGCGGAAACGTTCAATACAAATTGAATCTAGGAATCTAGGATTCGATTTTTCAGCGAGAAAAATTCTTAGATTTTTAAGAAAAATTTTACTTCTTGTTAGCTTTAAATCGCGATGCATTTCGCGGACAATTGTCCTTTCTGAATTGACAAAACTGCGATTCTCGTACGTAGGTCAAGCTCTTGATAAAGAACTGAATCCTGTGTTCAATTTTTCATAAGAGAAGCATTTGATACAAGGTTCTGTTCTCCAGAAAAAATATCTTAGAGATATAGGTGCGGCTCTACTTGTTCTAAAAACAGGGTTAACAAAATTTGTAAGTCGAGTCACGTCGAAAGCGACGCGTCGCTAAAGGCGAAGATGACATTGACATTAATCCGATATCCTAGAAATGATGTAGAAAGGTTCCTTTTGGAGACTTCTAAGGTCAACCGTGCCACGAGTTTCCTATTTCGATTCGGCAGATTCGGTGTCCCCGCGCTTAAATATTCGTGCATCGTAAAGTGCCCAAGGCCGAGATCTAAATTTCTCTCGAGGCGGAAGTAATTGTTTGAATTGGACGTTGAAAGATCCGTTCAAGACTACGCCGACCTCGAGAATAAATTACAACATTACTCTACGATTGGTTGTGCCGAACAAAACAATGTCACTTGGAGGCGATTGGTCTTAGGACGCGATCAACAGTGACCAACAATGACAATTCTTCCCTCGAATGAACCCTCTACTCATTTTCCCAATTCTTTAATTCGAACTCCTAATAAATCGCAAGACGCGCCATTTTAAACACCGTAATCTCGTTTCAAGAGAGAAAAGACAATTCCAGGTACAAGAATGGAAGATCGTTCTTGTAGCTCCACATCAACGGGTGGACGATGAGACTCGTTTCTCTCAAGAGATAGATACAGGAGAACTCTCGGTGCTCGCAACTTCAAGTACGAGTACGCACAACCGTCGTACAAAGGTCAGGAAGTGTGTACCTCTCCCCCGGATGTATTACATACACAAATCGTTTAATGCGTCGTTATACACGCGTCCCTGGTAGCAAACCATCGCCGATTTCACGGCGTCTGTCTCGCACCCCCGCGTTCCCACTGGAACAATGAAACATATTATTACCACCTCAAGTAAGTTTCAACAATCGCGCATCATTTCGTATCCGATCCGCGGTAATAATTCCCGCTTAGCGCGCATCAAGTTCCCTCAAAGTATGTTCACCGTCGTTCCAGCCGACGCCATTTTGGTATCCGTGAAGATGCTCTAAAGAGTTTCTTAGCGACCTTCCTTAGAAATCCGATAGAAATGCATAAACATTGTTATCACTCTGCCACGTATAAGTGCACATAATCCTGGTCCAAAAGCCCTGGTAGATACATAAAGTACATAAGTTCAAATCTTCGAATTAAGATCTCTGATCGTTAGAAACGTCTCTATCGATGTAGCCAACGGTGCATTGAGAAATTTCCACGTTTGTTCGTTGTCTTCTTTTGCACGTTCTCTTCTACCTGGTTTCTTTTGTTGATTTTGTCCGAAACGTCCGTAGGCGAGGAAGGGAATACGGCTCGTCGTTATTTTTCGCGCCCTATCGTTACAATGGTGAGCTCCCGCAAGACTCCGATGCGTTTTACCGCCTCGTTCCGCGTGTAATCAGTTCGCGGCGCATCGTTTCGCAAGTAATTCGTCGGGAGCAATTCCGCTCCCAGCCGCGTCAAGATTATCATGGTTATCGCGGGTTAGCGAGTAAGTGGACGCATCACGAATCGGTCGTTGTAGGTGTTGAGCGGTCGGCTACCAACGAGGACCTCCATTCAAGGGGGCTCGGCATCCGACGCGAACGAGTGTACACCTGAAGTGGACGGAAGTGTACGCGTATGTGCGGTAAAATCGAGGAAGTCGCAAAGCGTGGTTCCAGCGATGGAGAAAACGATCAGCTGGGACAACAGGGACGGGACACCGTATTCGGAAATTTCTATCCACGGTTTAGGTGCGAACTGGCTAGTAGAAAGTCTGGCTGGTCCAGTTGAAACTTCCTTTCGGTTGGTCAACCATTGAGCCCCGAAAGTCAAGTCTAAGAGCAGAGAGATACGTTGTCATTTTTTCTTTTTTTGGCCTTGGGTCTTGTTCCCTTTAAGCCAAAGTTTCGGCACTTCGGATATTTGCTGAAACATTTAACGTGGGTTCTTCGCGAGTATTTGCAAAGACCATTTATCCGACGACATGCGAAGTTCATGACCTCCTCCGTTGTTCAGCAGAGAAATTTCGCCGCAGGAAGCGAACGACGCGGTCTCAAAATGAATGATTTGAGGCCACGTCGCCTCTGCTATATCAGCGTGGTCTCAAAATGGACAATTTGAGGCCACGTTGACCCTACCGTTACCATTGAAATTTCAAAATGGGTGATTCGAGACCACGTTGCCCACTATAGTGCCATGGTCTCCAAATGAACGATTTGAGACGATGCCGCCTCTGCTATATCAGCGTGTTCTGAAAATGGATGATTTCAGGCCACGTGGTCATCGAGGCTTTAAAATGGATACGGAAAGTGATAAGTCGATGAGGAAGGGACACGGGCAGGACTCTTCGTGGTCCGGTCTGCTCCGAGCGAAGTGGCCCGCACCACCTCTGGCCGACTCGGCCGCGGCGGCATGCGGCCCGGGGCCTCCCGTGGGGTCGGGAGGCGGTGGTGGAGGCGATGGTGGAGGCGATGGTGGAGGCGACGGTGGAGGCGGCGGAGGCAGCCGAGCCGCACAGGGACGAAAGCCCGGACACTCGCGGCCGCGGAACGGGCCGAGTGGTCCCGCGAGTTCGAACCAGTAGCATCCAAGTGTCCAAGTGACCGAGACCCGAGGAGAGCGACAGCGAGCACCCGGTCGGTGGGTCAGTAGCGGCCCCAGGTGGAGAGCGGGCGCGGACCAGGTCGGCAGGAGAGGCAGAGCTCCAGTGCGGCGAGATGACGGAGCAGACGGCCACCGCCGTGGCGGTGTCCACCCTGAACAGGACCTCGGGGGATCCCCTGAGGGACTCATCTCTCGCTAGGTCGGAGAAGAAGGCGCCCGAAGGCGACGTCCTTGCGTGGAAGTCCATGACCGTGGGCCAGAAGTGGTCCTTCCTGACGAAGAACATTACGGTCGAGCCGATGGTGGCCTGTTACATAATGCCCAGCGTGCTCGCCTCGTTGGCCACCCAGAACCTGAATCTGGAGAAGGCCTGCAGGGTTAACCTGGCCTACCCCGAGGAGGTCTGCGGAGCACTGACCGCCAGGAATACCACTGGCTTGGAGGCGGAGGAGACCGCGGTGCAGCAGCTGGTCGCCGGAATGCAGACCTGGAAGACTGCCTTGCAGTCAGGTCTGCCGACCATCCTGATCCTCTTCATGGGCGCCTGGAGCGATCGGACCGGCCTAAGGAAACCGTGCATGCTGCTCCCGATCGTCGGGGAGTTTCTCACGAGTATAAGCCTCATCGCCTGCACCTACTGGTTTTACGAGCTGCCCATGGAGGCCGCCGGGGTCTCCGAGGCCCTTTGGCCGGCCCTCACCGGGGGCTGGTTCACCATGTTCATGGCGATCTTCAGCTACATCGGCGACATCACCACCGTCGAGTCCAGGACTCTCAGGATCGGGGCGGTCAACGTCTTCCTGTCCCTGGGGGTACCCATCGGCATGGCTCTGTCCGGGGTGCTGTACCTCAAGATCGGTTTCTACGGCGTCTTCGCCATCTCCACCGTGTGCTACATGCTCAGCTTCATTTACGGCCTGGTGGTTATCAAGGAGCCCCCCAGGCCGCCCAAGGGACCCGCCGACAAAATGGACCAGGTGGACCGGGCCAAGATGTCCTTCTGCGCCTCCACCCTCGACTTCTTCGCCCTCAGGCACATCTCCGAGACGTTCCGCGTGGCCTTTAAAAAGGGGGCCAGGAACCGACAGAAGCGGGTCATCGTGCTCATGATCATCGTCATGGTCGTCATCGGGCCTGTTTACGGTGAGTGCTTCCCAAATTCGCCGATCCTCGTGCAACCAAATCTTCCGAGCCAAATCGTATCTTCCATTTAATCGCGACACGACCCTGGATCGTTCCACGGATTCGCGGATAAATTTATTTTTCAGCGAATCTTCGACAATGGCATGCATTAAACCGCCGAGAACGTGGCGGAGCTGATCAACGGTGCCAGAAAATACGTTATTAATAAATACTTGGCTTGTTTCGATAAAAAAAAAATAAATAGATTTTCGAACCTTCAGAAATTTATCTGCAAATTTATGGATCGACTTAATGTATACTCTATCGGACCTTCCGTAATTCTTGCTGACTTACAAATCTTTATGGCTTAGACGCAAATTTTTACCTTCGCGAGGACTTTCTTCGGGAAGTCGAAATATATTAGAAGTGTCCATTGATCGCGATCGCGGATAGCGGATAAATTTCTTACCGATTACGGTACGCTTAGATGCGCGTGAAATTCAATTTCTATTCAGGCGCCTGGTACCACTTTCGATCGCCGTGCCGTTCCACATTTCTTGGTGAGCCTATGTACCCCTACTAATCAGCCTCATAGATAGTGAAGTTGGGTTACTTTGCTCATGCCTCGGACCGGAGAGGTAACTGCGGAGCGAATCGGTTAAAAAGCAGAGGTAAAAAATATTGCAGCTATTTAGACACGCCACGGGGTAAAACGAACAATTAATGCGGTAGTAGCGGCGTTGTAATTATTTCCGCGTTCAAGGAGAAAATCGAATCATTTCCTCCCATCTATACCTACGTACAGGATTAAATATCACGATTGAATTTCATGGCCACGTATTGCCGAAAACATGTGAAATTACTCTAGAGCGGTTGAGGTCAGTAAAACTTCATAAGAAGTCTATGAAAATCTGTAAAAATCCGTAGAAATCCGAAAAAAAAAGAAATGCGTAAAAAGATCTATAAGATTCTGTAAGAATCCGTAAAAGAAATGGGCAGCGCTTTTGGACCTGTAACGGGTACATAACTTCTCCTTCCCCCCCAAGAGGGGACCGCATCGCGTATCCCGTAAAAATGCATTAGTCGGGTGTTATCTCGAAAGATTACCGCGGTTTTTACATAACGAGATATCGTAAAGATCGGACGGCAGGACGGCCGGCCTCTTAAAGGGCAACTTTTTTAACGGTCCTGCTCTTCCCACACGTCAGGGAAGCCTCGGATGTTGAGTGTAACGGTGAATTGGGAATGAAGAAAAATAGCCCGCCGATTACAGTGCGCCCCGTGTAACGGTTGATATATACGGAAATTACACGTTATCGAGCCCCACGTGTGCGCCTACTGCCAATATTTATGAACCTCGTCTTCTCGGCGGGCGTACGCCGGAGAAAGTGACCGCCGTCTCGGGCGAGCGCAAGTGCGCTAACTGGAATATGGAAAAATATGCAAATCTAGGAATCATTACACCTCCACGCGGATAACCAGATTACTTTACCTCCGGCGGCCCTACTTTAAGGTGGAGTGAAACCCCCTTCAAATCGGTCGATTCGAATACAACACTTTTTTTTAAGGGTATTAGACCAAACTGTCCGAAACTTTGACACGTCACTCCTGATCATCTAAGAATTGTCCTGACACATTCAAAATTTTGATTTTTTTACAAAATTTTTTAACTCGGCCCAGGCCAGAACCAAAATGGCGTCGAGCTCTCTCATATTTCGATCGATATACAATTATCGAAGGCTCTGATATGAGAATCGAAAGGGTCAGGACAATTTTACGACAATTTAGAACACCCTGGTAGTCGATAAACTCGCATTTGAACGGGATAAAGGCAAAAAAAGTGTTTTATGCGCTTCTACGCTAAAACGATGGGAATACGAGGTCTCGGAGTGAAAATTTAATTGACCTGAAAATCACAGATGGCGCAGGGGGTCCATCTGCAGTGAATTAGGCCCCCAGAAAGCACGAATCCAGAGGATTTCTGGAGTTTTACTTCGATTTCTTTATAATTATTGTACGAAAACGACAGGTGGAGTATGCCATTTGGTACAAGACCCAATATAATTCGATGCAGCTGTCAATATAAAAACAAACGTCGGCAACGTAGGCATTTAGAAAAATCTTCTTTATAGACGTTGATCAACTTCCTCGACGTGTTTCACTTCACCTTAACGTGTGCGAGCATGACGAGGGGTGTCGAGATATGTCGACCGAAAGACCCTCGGTTTTTTCGTATTTTTTGAAACCGATAGTTGCCCAGACAAGGAACTCTTGTTTCTTCCGTTTTGAGGATAAAAGATGTTGTTAGAGAATTCGATACATTTTTAGCGATGAGATTCGCCGAGACGTTCGTGTCTTTTTAAGGAGCGCGCGGCTAATGTAAGTCACTCCCGTGTTAAGCGAAAACCTCGTTGTTCCACTTTCTACAGCTTAAGTTAAACGCGCTTTTTTGTCCAAACTGACGACGCTAGGAAAATGCGACCTGTACAAAAGTTAGTGGGCATGGTACCTGGAGTAATTTTCGTTTAAGACATTTTCGCGGGTAAAAAGTGCAACCGCATATATTTCGCGTGCGGTTGCGAACGGGAGAACTTTTTTCGCGCTGAGTTAACCGCGAATCATCGTCCCGCACTTGAAAAATTCGGTAGAACTGGAAAGCGTATAGTATCGATGTAATAAAAAACAAAAAAAAATAGTACATTACGTATCGTTCGTAAATACCGATACTTGTACTTGACTCTTGATGCGGGGATACGTTGCATTTTCGCGTGCAAGTGCAGGTGAGGAGATTTTTGTCATAGTGCATCGGGCGAGAGAATTTTCTGTTCGACACCAGGATGTTTATTTTGCATAGGAAAAATTGAATTGTAGAAATGAAAGACGTCCGGTATCGATGTAATAAAAAAGAAAAAGCAAAATATAGTGTATTACGTATCGTCCGTAAATGCTAACGCTTGTACTTGACTCTTGACGCAGAGATTCTCTGCAACTACGTTAACTTGGTTGCCTCTGCGGACGTGCGAAATCACCGTTATTTTCTTTTTAAAGGCTTGCACACATACAAGAACACGGCCTAGATACGAGGGAGAGAGACGCGTGTGTCTGGAAACGAACGTGAAAATCGTACTCGAGTTTATCCACCACAGAATCCCTGTAATTTACGTAGCGCAGAAATGAGGGCCATGCGACCTTCTGGAAGGAACGGCACTTTACCTCACTTTGGTATAAGACCTTAAGCCGCGTTACTTCCGGGCAAGTGAGGTGCACATGAGGCTTCCATACATCTCATAGCCGTCAGACTCGTTTGCGCGAGTTTGCCGGAAGTTTATTAAGGAGTTTACTACGAGGTTTACTGCCAGGTTCATTAAAACGTTACGATAGATAATTTAACAAATGGCGTAGGAGATAGTTGTTAAATAGGATAGCTTCAACGCCTCTTATTTTTTATCACTCGAAGAGCACGTACGTGTGCACTACTCGGTGAGGAAATTTTCGCAAGAATGGTATAAATATATGCCGACAAAGATTGCTAAAATTTGCTACAAAAAACAAGCCCGCGGAATGCAGCTTATTGGCAGTAAATATGTTTCCACTTAACCGCCAGACTGTCATAACAGATCGCTGTGGAGAATATTTCATGTTGTCAGAGTACTTTTGAAAGGGGAAACTTTTTCAAAAGCCTAAAAGCAGAATTGCAGGACGTAGCTGCAATGATCGTCGGGATAGATGTCATATCGGTGGCATCTGACAATTATTATGCAATTATGACATGCGAGGAAGTGATCATTATTATTTCCGAGGTAAACGGCGTTACGTAATTCGATTGCACTTGACGCAGTTGAACGAACCGAGGCGGCAAGAAACTGGTACGTGGCTTTACGGGAACCTCATGGGTGGAGGTAACTTAAATGGGGCAAAAAGTCGTTTTCCACCCAAGGAAGTAATGTGCAAATTTGTGGGACGACACGTGGAAGGTCGTGACAGGAAGTTGATACGTCATGATAAAGAAGCGTGACACCGGTGATGATTAAGGATGCAATTTGGTGGCGATCCTGCAAATTATACGGAAGAAGCTTTAACTACACCGAAGATAAGACAATCCAATAGACGTAATAAATGGAACTTCGCGGATTCTCGGCACTGACCAATAATTAAAAAAGTGGATACCTCACTTATTTACCAAATTAGATGATTTCATGAATTATATCATTTCCTCACCAGATAACAAAACTCGCGTTTTGAGAAATACTTTCCGATGGAGTATAACACTTTTAGATTTCTCACGGATGGAAACGTAAAACCGGAATGTTATCAACGATATGCTTGTAGCTTGTAAGGGAAGTGATTTTTGATTTAATTCCTTATTTACAATCTTAAACTTTATCCTTCGGATAAATTTATTCCGCCGTTAGGCGGATGCTGTGTTTAGGTGGTTCTCGTAATTGCATGTTAATGGTAACACCTAAGCTGGAGAGATAAGGAAGGTCAGTAAAGCGTTTACTGAAACAGAATAGTTCTTCTATTCGTATTTGCCACGTGCACTAACTACTGCGTTACGTTTCAGTCCATTGTTAATCTATAGATGTATCTGCTGTGTGCCGTTTAAAAGCTGATGAGTATTGCAGATAGCAAATGAATCTGCATGACTCGTTGGTTGCTTCCTGTTTATTAGAAATGATTGGCAATGTTAGGCAATCCTGCTGTGCACGGTTTTTTGTTATTCTAATTACCGTTTAGAATTCTGCCGTAACTCGTGTCGCCATTGACGACATTTACATCTTCGTGTAATGAATTCGAAAGTGCAAGAACTTCCAACTTCTGACAAAGACCGAATTATTTTCAATCTGTCATTTACAGTATTTTCTGAGTGCAACTTTTAAAATTATAACTTACTGCTTCCTGTTAATTAAAAACGATCGTTAGGCAGTTCCTGTTCACGGTTTTTTGTTTAAATTGTTCTTTTGAACTCTACTATAATTTATGTCGACGTTGGTTGTATTTATGTTTCCGTCTAATGCATTTAAATGTATAAGAGTATACAAATATCGATAGACATTACATTATTTTAGAACCATGCTACGTACAATAGTTTTCTAGGATACTCTTGTAAAAATTGTCATTAGTTGCTTCCTGTTTATCAAAATGGAGGTACCTTGAGCAATCCAATTGAGCATGTCTTCTTTTAGTTTAACTGTCATTTAAGACTTCTTATAATTCGTGTCGGAACTGATTAAGAAACTTGGTAGAGTTTCGCGCCAAATATATGTATATATATATATATAGAGGCGCGAAACTTTTTGTATTTATATCTTCATTTAATGGATTCGAAAGATCAAGAACGTACGGGTACTGGTAGAGACCGAATTGTTTTTGAATTTTGTTATTCACAATGTTCTTGAGGGTGGATTTTTCAAAATCATAGTACATGTCTACGATCGCAGGTTGGTCATGCTCCATAAATAAAATTTGTAACGGCAGAAGATCCCCAGATTCGTGTCAAGGTCAAAACGTTTTCGTCATGTTTTCCAATTGAGCCAATTTGAAGATAAGGTCCTTAGCCTTATCCCCGTAGTCTGCGTTCGCCACAGTGAATACAGCTGATACATAACTTTGTCTAGTCACGAGATTTATCCCGACATGTTCCCATAGAAAAGACAGGTTAAAATTCGACATACCTACGAAGAGTCGCCTTAGCTCGGGAAAATAGATAAAAAGATACATTTCAACGACTCGCGTAACTTCAAGTTCCGAGAGGAGCTTCGAAGTAAAAATGTCATAAGAACAAAGCATAATTTACTAAAGACCGTGCTCGAAGTAAGTGATTAAACGGAGCCATTGATAAACGAACGTATTGTGCAACACGATTCCTTTACGTAATGCAGGATAATGACAGGTGAAAACTGCGTGCAATTCTGAACAAAAGTGCCTCTACATGCATTACTCTGAAATACGGAATATTTATATTCATTTCCAATTATCGCCAGCTTCGCATCTCGGCAACGTGCCTTAAGAAAATTCCAGACAATTGCATATTAATAACCCAACAATTGCAGTACCGGCGAGATAGCTGATGTTCTCGGGAAATCAAGAAACGCGGTAGCGTTCCGAGCCAAATACATTAGTGCGAGAGATTCGTAGGGTCGAGTGATATTTATTACAATTTACCTGAGAAAGTAGGATATTTCCAAAGCGAAGTGGAAATCCTTCTACGAATTTAATTCAATTAGGAGAGGTACGGAGAAGCATGCAATAAACTGTAATGTGACGTTACGTAAGTTCTGAGAAACTTGACCGAGGAGAACTTTAGAGGAGTGAAGTAAAATAGCGGCTACCCTCATTATCCGATGCACAAAGTCTGGAAATTGAAATGTTAGAGGAAATCATCGATGACTATCCGACCATGGTATCCATACCGATGTGGACTTACTTTGAAATAATAAAGCAGATTCCACTTTCTTCGGCGGATGACTCGCTTGAACGGCACAAATCTATTGCGGAGGTCTTATGAAAGTCTTACGGATGTCCAAATGTCCTAATTGTAGTCTATGGACATCCTGTGAATGGTGCGTGTTTTACGGGCAATCTCGCCGATCCGTGGACGAATGGCCCGAGAGAACCCAGAGGTTTCCCACGAATACCGCTGACCGACTATTGCGATCATGTAACTTCCGTATTTCGCTGCAATTGAAATCAGCTCCTTGCACGTTGGGCTGATCCTTACAGAACAAAAGTTCGCTAGACAATATTTTAATTTACCATTAACAATGAAACTTAATCGAACCACCTTTTTACCTCTAAAGACTAACAAAGTTTACGGATTTGTTAAATTAAAATCATGCTTTTGAAATTATTTTGGGGTAAACCATACGTGTAATTCGTCCTCTCTCATAACTTTGTTGGGCTTCATGCTTGACGATATTATTATCAAAGAGATGTCACTGGAGCTTACATCGAGTGGAAATTGTAATTAAATTGTGTTTCGTGAATGCAGATTGTTAGTGGATGTTGGTGCACTTGGATGTTTGGTTTTTTCAGTCTGATCATCGCCTAGTTATGTCACTGCATTATTCGTACGATTCACCAACCATGGTGTAATGATTCAGCAGAACGTCACACAAGCACTTATCTCCAATTCACACTAGATACTTTGTAACTATTTCTGTCGCGGAAATAATTCACTTTCCTAGGGCAAGATCTCGTTATCTGACGTCTGGTCATTTTGCAATTGCTCGCGAGGTCTTAAATAAAATCAGACAAATTAATGACTCATTAACCGTGACGGGCATTATCGTTTCAGTAGTATTTCATGACTCCGCATACACGGTTATATCCCCTTGTACCCGTCGAATTTACATATCCTGAGTAGACAGCAATCAATTTTGAAGAATCTCTGTCTTCGTAAAGAAATGGATAATCTCTACAAAGAAACGATACATAAATGACTTATGAATTACGAATTTCTGCCTTTATGAAGAATCGGCGGATAAATGGTATTACGAATTTCATTATTCCAGGCGAGATGGCAGTGATGTATCTGTTCGTGAGGTACCGGTTCAATTGGAACGAAGTGAAGTTCAGCATGTACTCTACCTACAGCATGGTGACTAATCTAATCGGTAAGTACCGTAAAATAAAGGTCAGATTTCTAAAATCATAGACCCTGTCGAAATAAGACCTTAACGAAACAGTCGATACTCGCTAAACTTCAATGACACTCCTCCACTCATTATTTATCCGCGTTATTTACCGTGACAAAGAAGACCAAGTCAAACCTTCTAGACAACAGCTGATCGGGTACACATTTGATATAACCTTTAACATACTTTCTAAAGGTCCCCGGGCACTCCGTGATTTATGTTTTAACATTGAATCGTGATTGATAAGCCTATAAATAATTACGGGAACACGATGCGCGTCTTGTGACGAGATCTCGGATTATTTTCATGCCTGCAGCCCTGAGTTGCTCTTTTAAAAAGGCACGAAGAGAACGGCAAGAGTGATGGCCCGTTATTTCCTTGAGATCAGGGATCGCTTCACGTTGCAAAAGTCACGGACTTTACGTCCTTCCTCTTTAATTAGCATAATCTCATCACGTCCGAGCATAATATTATGGACTACTTGACCCTAATTACTCACTTCCCAGATGAGTTTGTCGAATGTTAAATGGACGGTGCAGGTCGGATCTTGGGACGAGACGTTCTAACGTTTTCGAGAGTCTCCGTATGATCGATTGATCGATGGGATTCGATATCCCGTTTCGGATTATTGGTCAAGCATTGCTAATTACATTTCCTCGAGTACTGAAAGTCAAACGTGCCGGAGTAATTTGTTCACTTCCATGAGAGAGCTGTCCATAAACAACGTATAATTACAATATATTAAAAAAAAATAAAATAAAATAAAAGAAAGTCGGCAGGAATAATAATTACGTGCTCGGAATGTTAAAGACTACGGAGATCGAAAATACGATCAAAGGAGGCTAGACAAATCCGATGGCGCCGTCGAGTAGAAAGTGGAAACCTCGACCGTGTCTGGCCGTGTTTTATTTACTTACTTTTCACGGATCTCGACATTCATAATCGGTTGTCTTTCACTCCCACCTGACAACGTCGGCACAAACACTTTTTACTAATAGACGACTATCTGGATCCGGAATTATTTGCGAACGAAGCCGCCAGTCCTGCTCGCGCTATCCGATTCGTTCAGAAAAGTGTAAAACTGGATGAATAAAACATGACCCCCCAAAACTGCAATTTCTACCTTCCCATCAGTTGTATTCTAAGGTCAACCGCTCTTTTGTCAAATCTATAAATATTCACGTTTTAACATATAAAAACGCGTTAATTTTATCGATGGGACCATTTTACAATTATTTTACGACTTATATAAAAGCAGACTCATTAAACCCTGTCATCGATCATTCGCGTCGATTAGCGAGCGAGCTGTCTACGTGAAGGAACACTGATAAACCATAATATAACATTATATAACGAATTTAAGTGTCTAGGAATGATACAAAACACGTGGATCTTGTATCCTCTCCGATCATCGCTAATAAATGAAACCTTTTTTCTTCCGTTGAAAGTTTTCCATCGGCTTCGAAGGCCGTCATTAAGGATACTTCCGTCACTTCGTGAATTTCTACTATTCCAATGTCGATTCCTGTTTTTTTTTTCTCTCTCTCTCATTAGCAACATTCTCCTCTGTGGTTGCAGATTGCATAGGATCCTCTTACGGGTGGCGTTGCTAAGCGGATTCGCACGAATGTCGTACCGTATAGGAAACATTGCGCGAAGCTATCGATTGGGTTTATTAAACTTTGGCTTCTTCGCATTCCCGTGACAATTGTACAGGAAATTCAATGCATATCGCCTCTGGCGAGGGAAGTTCTCACGAAGAATGCGAGAGATTGGGTGGCCACTCGAAAACCCAACACGATTTATTGCACTTAATTGAAATGATTAAAATGCAATCAACCCCCTCCCTGCTGCGTCATCTATAAATGACATCTGTGAACATATTTTTTTTTTAACAAATATTCAGACAGTTTAATTAATTTTTATTAAAACTGTTGGACACTTCTTCGACGAGACTACTTTGCGCTCGGTGTTCAAGATTTTTTGAAGCCGTCGCTCTGTTTCACTTAGACACGGGTTTAAGGTAAAGTGAAACCCCCTTCAAATCAGTCGATTCGAATACAACACTTTTTTTTAAGGGTATTAGACCAAACTGTCCGAAACTTTGACACATTACTCCTGATCATCTAAGAATTGTCCTGACAAATTCAAAATTTGGATTTTTTAAACAAACTTTTTAACTCAGCTCAGACCAGAACAAAAATGGCGTCGAGCTCTCATATTTTGATCAATATACAATTATCGAAGGCTCTGATATGAGAATCGAAAGGGTCAGGACAATTTTACGACAATTTAGAACACCCTGGTAGTCGATAAACTCGCATTTGAACGGGATAAAGGCAAAAGAAGTGTTTTATGCGATTCTACGCTAAAACGATGGGAATACGAGGTCTCGGAGTGAAAATTTAATTGACCTGAAAATCACAGATGGCGCAGGGGGTCCCTCTGCAGTCAATTAGGCCCTCAGAAAGCACGAATCCAGAGGATTTCTGGAGTTTTACTTCGATTTCTTTATAATTATTGTACGAAAACGACAGGTGGAGTATGCCATTTGGTACAATACCCAATATAATTCGATACAGCTGTCAATATAAAAACGAACGTCGTCAACGTAGGCATTTAGAAAAATCTTCTTTATCGATGTTGATCAAGTTCCTCGATGTGTTTCACTTCACCTTAAGTTAAGCAACCGTAAAAAAGATGGATCATCTTTCTACAGAATTCACTGTTTACCGCCAACAGGGACTACAGTGTCTGTGGGAGTGTTCAGCCACATTTTGAAGATCGACGATGCCCTGGTAGGCCTAATGAGTTGCACGAGCAGGATTCTCGCAAGTTTCGTCTACGCTTTCGCTACCACCGACTGGATGATTTACGTGGGTACGTTCTTTACATTGTGCACAATGTAAAATTGCATTACCGGTGTTCTGCAACATCCGTGGGTAAAATCCATATTTTTGTTTAACGAAACAGCACCCCTAATTGAGATCGTGAACGGAACGTCTTTCATCGCCATGCGTTCCATAGCTTCTAAGCTGGTCCCAACGGATGAACTCGGTGAGTAGAAAATTTGAAATTAATGCTTAATCAATGCCTTAGTCCATCCGAATAAATATGCAAGAAATATGAGCCTTCATTCCGCGTCAAATCCTTTACCGTGACATTTTGAACCGACGTGACAACATTTAATTAAAAAGAAATTAAAGACCCTGTACATGCCGCTGCACCGAGACGAACGTTTCCTCAGAGTCTCTAATGCATCCTATTTCCACGTAACTTGTAACCCAAGAAATGGCTGGTTATTTTAAATTAACTCACTTGACGGAAAAGCTAGTCAGAATGGGTTAATGAACGCTTAGGATTGATTAATTCCATCAAGTTTAATTCATTTGAACGCCGTACAGGCTCGGAGGTCACTTTGAACGATGCCTGATTGAATCAGTTTTACGCCGTCTCAGAAATGATACAATTAGCGATGTCACGGGCTAAAAGTGCGCCTTGATGGTCGTCTAAGAAGGCAAACTGGCCATTAAAGTCAATTAGAATCGAGGTGTGCGCCGAAATCATGTTCCAGGTTAGACGGTGCGATGCGTAATCGACATTTTACCCAGTCGACGTGTCGCACTTAACTATAAATTGGAGCCGTGGCGCTTCCATTGATCCGAGGATCCGTCGCATCTATTGAACCGCCATTGAGCATTGTTATCCGTGAATCCTTTTGATAAGAGACAGTGGAATTGCGATGCTCGTTACGCGCGATGATCTCACGGTCAGGTTCACGTAATTCGAATATTCCCGACAATAGAGTGCGATTAATGGCCGAACGGAAGTGGCGATACGCAGACGTAACGTTTCTGCAGGAAAGCCAATGAAATTTAGACGATTTGGTCAAAATACGTCCGCTTATTCGGAAACATGTATACGTGGTGTCTCGTAACTCGAAGAGGGAGAAACGAGACTCGCGGAAGATATTTCAACGCAGACATTAATGCTCGAGGGATTGCAACACACTTGTGTTTACCTTAAACCGATAATTTGGAATGTCATTCGTGTATTACGTCTAATGACAAAACGACAGAAAATTCCTTGGCACAATAATACTCCCTTCCCACTTTCTCTCACCGCACGAAGGACATTATCGTTAGCTGAAACGGATGACCAAGGGAACGCCAGAAATTGCAATGTTCTTTCTAGATATTTTTTGCTCATTTTGATCAGAGGTTATATTACACATATATAATATTTATCAGGAGAATTATACTTTTAATAACGATCGCCGAACAGCGCGAAAAATCTTGTACGCCTCTTTTGGTTCCCCAACAAATGTTCTTAACAAGGAATACGAAAAACTCATCATATCGTTACTTAATTGTTCATTGTATGGAATTGATAGGGATTTTCCTATGGTAAAGTTTAGGATTAAGGAGAGCACAAATGCTCCCTGTGAATTCTTCATTATAGAAAATTTTTTCATACGTAACCGTACAAAAATTATTTCTACGAGATACCAGGAATAATAAGCGGCGATTTTAATATCTACTTCGCCACGCACAGTTAGTGACCTCTTAGACAACAAATTCATATTAAATAACTAACGATAAGGTATACGCAAATTGTGAAATGGACATTAACCATAAATAATCAACTTTTCACTTTCCAAAACGAGTTCTTCTCGTAACATGTGAACTTTTACCTGCAGAATCTTGTCGCATGAAGTTTCACATTAATGACAATTTAAAGTACACTGTTATTGACATTTACGATTACGTCCTTAAAAATGATGGGTCACATAATCTCGGTATCTTTATACGTTTTCACATGTTTTCTATCGTATTCCAAAAAAGACGCGGTGGCACCCCCTTTGGTTGCCGACGTTGACGAATACGAGATTACGTATGTGTGCGTAGCAACGCAAGATGGCCGCTGCAATCCCTTCTCCTTACGACTCGAGTTTCAGACCCCTCGTCTAAATTGTCACTTTAGGCTCCATCCGTTTCTTCATTGATCCATGGGAAAACTCGAAACGTCATGTCGCTTATTGACTAGTCTTACGATACATATAGTGGGGTGGATCGAAGGAAGCAAAATGAAGCGACATTTATGCCCAGAGAAAGTTCTAATTTCTAACGAGCTAATTTATTAGCGTGGCATGAAGGTAGCTGCATAATAAATCGTATCTCACGGCAGCTCATGCCGAGTTATATACCGCGATGTTGTACCCACACTTCAACCGGTTATTATATCATAACGAGCTAAAGGTGGGATTAATGAAGCACGTCCCAGCCGTGCAGAAGTCAGTTTTCAAACGATTTCTTTTAACCGCAGGTAAGGTCAACTCCTTGTTTGGCGTTTGCGAGTCTCTGATGCCGCTCGTCTACGGACCAATGTACAGTTCCGTCTATGGAGCAACAATGAATACGTTACCAGGGACCTTTTTCCTTGTTGGCGGGTGCCTTACTATTCCCGCAGTGATCTCATTCTTGTAAGTTCTACTTTACAATAATCCATGATATTTTTAACACAAAGCGAAACCCTATTTTATTCGGGTTAAAAGTTATCTCCTCGTCCAAAAGCGATACATTAAATTAATAGAATTACCTAAATGAGCACGCAAGTGAAAGATGCGCCATTTAAAAACATTGTACGTTAATTTCAATAATCGTATCAAATGTCTAATTTTTTTTATAAATCTGTCTAAAGAGCGTATGATATTTGCGAATATTTCTGATAACGGTCTTTCATGTTTAAGAACGAGGAAACAACGGATGATCGGGAAATTTGTATTGCAATCTTTTTTAAAAATTCAATTACTTATTTGACTTAGTTATTTCTGAAATTTAATATGGCATGGATATCTGTGTTCCAATACAACGGCAAGGATAGTCGTGATGGGTGATAACGTATCAGTAAGCGCGAAGTACGCGTGTTAGTTCTGAATACTTTTGATAACATTGCAATAATTTGAGTGACTAGGCCTCATAAAGGCGTATCGTCACGTTAATAACCTCGTTACCATGAAAACAACAATGTACAATGTATCGGGGATTTAACTCGTGCATTATTTTATCTAGGTGGTTATATACGGAGCACAGGAGGGACCGCGCATTGGAAGAACGAGAAATGAGAGAAAAGAGTGGCCTAGAAAAGCTCGAAGACGGCCGGAAGAAATCATTGACAATGACAGGAGTGCCCAGCCGAGAAGAGAAGAAAGAGACCCGGACTGCCAATGGTTTTGAAAATTCCGCCTTCGAGTCGGAACGGTTTTGAGATGCAATTAGCGCGAATACGTGAAGGTGTATCTTTCAGAAGACTAAACAGGTGCAGCTGCGTGTAAATTCCCGAGATGGAGACACGCGTTCCTTGCCTGAGATTGGAGAAATATTAAGATAATAAACGGGTAGACGTTTAAGTGTATAAATAAATAAATAAATAGTGCGAAGGGAGGGAGGTAATTGAGATCGAACATTTGCACAGTTCAGGGGAAAAAGAAGGGGATTTAATTTGCGGATGAGCGACCGATGGGTTACATGTTAAGTTGTACATAATTTTGTTCATAAGTTAAGCGATGAACAGATTCACCGGCGTAGTCAAAGACTTGATGCGAATTTTACGATTATGTATTCACCCTTTGTAGGAATTACTGAAAATTTAGCATCATAACCGATATTCGCAAAATGTCTGCCAGTAATCTAAGTACATTTCAATGTCGTAAACGCATTCCTTATCGGAACATTTTGCGGATGATGTGCACTATGCGAACCGTAGTATTGAATAAATGGCGACGTAAAAAGATTTGCAACTCATTCCGAAGGAGACTAAAGTTGACTAAATACGTTCATGAAATGCTCCGAATTTAAATCACGTATTTCTGTAAGCTTATGTATAAGCTTGGTACATGAAAATATTGCATTACTTGATTATTAATTATAATAATCATCGGGCTGCTTTATGAATCTCAGGAATAGAATGAATTCGTAATGATACCGTTATCACGTTATATGCAACTTTGCCAAGGAGGTGTACATTGTATGCTGTGTATTATAAAGAATTACCATATTTCTTGTATACCGAGAGCTACAATTTGAAGGACCAAGCCTTAGGTATACGTTTTGTATAAAATTCTGTACTTAAGTAAATTATTTTTGCAGTAATGGTTATCGATCCAGGGTATCTGGTTAATCTATACAGTATTAGAGATTACAATTGTGCTTACAAATACTTTACGAAGTAGAGTAATAATTGCAGAGGATTTACGGTCATTGATAGAGGGTAGAGTATTACGTCAATCTATATTTGATATTTATTAATTCATTCATTGCTGATTCTATTCCGAAAATGTAAAGATTAAAATCTTCTCTCAACTTTAATATATTTGGAAAGAGCGCAAAAATCTGTTATCGCTTGTAATCCCATTGTCAAAGAATAGAACGGAAACGTAATAATTTATTAAATTACTAAATGTTGCGTATCTCACATGACTTATACCGATGTTAATTAAATAATGATTTACGAAATTGTTCTGTTTTAATATGCCTATAGATGTATAGAAACTTCTGACTGGAATTCATTATTGTAAACTTTCACTGCAAATTGATAGCAGAGATGAGTTGGGAGATTGCTCACGGGCAGGGTCGCGCGATCGCATCGTGTGCTGCCCTCTGGTTTTGTACGATAGCTTTCACCGTTTTTTGCCCCCAAGGGCGGCGCAACGAATTTCTGGTAGGGGCTCGCGCACTCGCGATGGCTGTGCCATCTACCAGTTGCCGTTGGCGGCTCACGTATTCGTGATGGTAATACCATGCGGCAGTTGGTGGTGGTGGCTTACCATTATGGCAATTGCCCAACTCATCTCTGCCAAATCAGAGATGAGTTGAGAGATTCACGGGAAGGATCGAGCGAACGCGTCCTGTACCACCTCCGGTGGAGGATGCAGACGGCTAATGCAATTGCCACCTGTTACAACTCTGGGCAGCCGGAGAACCGACTGAAAAAGTGAAGAACTCCTCACAAAAACTCCAAAACCCTGTATCTCCTCCGAAAAAATCG